TTGAAAAAAGATTCAAAGAAAATGTTTTCTTTCCCTCCATCATTGGAGAAATATGTATTCATCCATCCGACGAAATTTCAAACCCGCAACCGGAAATAGAGATCGAAAAAATAAATGCGGAAAATCCTCTATTTCGCGTGACGAACCTCGAGAAAGCACGGGATCAAATGGGTACGGCGGGTTTAAATATCTCTCTTATTCACCCCGGTACCCCATTGTTTTTTGTCGCCATCACATTGAACACATCATTCCCCATATCTTCAAATTTTTTCAAATTTTTCTTGAGTTCCTAGGGGGTTGAAACGTTCAATTTAATCAAAACTCCATAAGAGGCCGTGTATAAGACTGATTTTGTTTATTTAATTTCTCGATATCCATAAGTTCTAAAATTTTGAAATTGTCCCCGATATTCACCTTCTGTCTAATACTATTAATTAAAAAAATTATAACTTTGTTGGTGAATGTCAATTTTCAAGGTCATCGCCAAATTCACTTGGCACCCTTAAGTGGTTTGAACCCGCGCGTTCCTCATCTCTGGCAATCGTCTGTTCAAGTGACTACTGGACTGAATTTATGAGGCTATATGGAACAGATGCGTAGTGTTGCCGTATGATCATTACAGGTTCGACCAACGATCGTCAAGTGTGAAATTGAATAAAATGTTGTTCACAATATTCATTAAAGAAATTTTCGAAAAAAGTTATTCAACAATGAAAAGTCCGAAAAAACATGAGGATGTCAGCATTTCCGGTAGAACTAAAATCGTGCTTCAGAGAAAGTTGCTAACTTGAACGAAGTACTTGGATATCCTTAATTAAGGGGCAACGGAACCCCTGTGTCTATATGAACTTTTAGAATTGTTCTTTCTCTTGCAATTATCATTTTTTATTTACGAAACTACTTCATTGGCTCAACAATGCAATGATCGAGTCGATAAAGAAGTTTCATTGACAAAAATTAACAATCGTAGGAGAAAATACATGTTCCAATTTCATAGAACAACCTAGGGAATTCGGTAGAAAATTCTATTGGATTTCTATTGAGCTTTCTATTAGCTTTTGCCGATTCTTTCGGACAAAACCGAGTGGATAAGCTGCGAAATTTTTCCACAGAAAGGTTTAATGAGAAAAGACAATAGATGTCAATTTGTTATACAAATTACTCCATGCAGATATTTACTATAGAATTTCTTCTGCTCATATTTTGCAAGTTTTTGTTTGTTAAAAAAAAGAGAAGGAATACAGAGTAAAAAAAAATTGGAACACCACCCACCACCGCCATTTTCCCCTTTTATAAGTCGTGTCGAGGAAATTCTAGAGAAAATATCTCAATCGACAAAGATGTATGGAAAGATGAAAGTCTGCTGATTTGTCTATAAAATTTTCATGTTTTTAGCATTTTTCCTGTATTATTCACTAGAGGGCATAACTTTCTGTCCAAAACTTCATGTATTCAGAGTAAATTCAATAATTAATTAAATGCTAGAAATAACGATAAAACTCCTCCCCATTTCCGCATTAATTTCTCCTACTCATTAACAATATTTATTTGAAAAATTCAGTTCACTGGGACCTTTTCGTGTTTTTCAAAGTCAACTGCAAAACCCTTTAATCTACATCCAATCGAACAAAATGACATAAAGATGCGTTTTTCCCCTTTTCTTGTTCTCCCTTGAACTTTATTTAATTCCACAATTTGCCAGGAAAACAGAGGTTTGAGAAAGAATGTCAACAGATCTCCTTTGTTGAACAAAATTATCTCCAACCGATCTTCCTTCTTAATGGAGATTTCCACCCCCCTCTCCACCTGTGTCACTGATTTTTTTAATTGATAAGCAATGATTGGATCGCGTTATCTGATGTCAAACGTCTATACTCGTCACTTAATGTGTGATGATACATATTAAATAAATATGTGCCACCACACAATGGAAATTACATTAAAAAGTTTCTCTTCGTCACAAAGAGATGAATACAAAATTTCTTTCAAACCATTTGACTTCTAGATGATTCTTCTAAATGAGTCCATTCATTAAGTAAATCAAATCAAAGAACATATCATGCAGATGAGTTTTTCCTTCTTTACGTATAGTGTGGGCTCAATACGACTCGAATTCAAATATTTCTAGTGAATCAAGTATTTACATTTTATGTACCTAATAGTTGATACAAAAAGAAAGAGTCTGTTTGTGTGTTCATTTTGCTGGATGAACATCGAGAAATTGAAGACAGTTTTTACAAGATTGAGTGCAAGATGAGATGGTACAGTATAAAGCGATGATATGTAGCGTGAGGAGTTACAGATTTTCACTATTTATTGTTGGAGGTATTAAAATTATAATATTTGTGGCCGCTGCATAAACTGAAACCGCTTTTCAATTCTCGGGAAATCTTTATGAATCTATTCACCAACGCTCTAAAGTGAAAACCATAGTAAAGCGTAGTAGGACTCTAGAGTGGGGACGCCGACACTGCGCTCTGACGGCCATAGAGTGGGGATACTGAAATTCAACGTAGAGGGTTAATCCAAGTCAACTCAAGTAAAATAGCCTGCAAATCAGCTTTTTCCTTCTTTTTATTCTACCTGAACTTCACACCATTCCCCAATTTCTGGAAAACTAAAAAGTTTCGGGGAAACTTTAGACAGATCTCTTCTTCAACACTAATCAACACTAATCTCCAACTGATTTCCCCCCCTCAATGTTAATTCCCATTCTCACCCACAGGTGTCGCTAATTTTTTTTTTCAAAAGTGATAAGCGAAGATTAGATCACCTTATCTGTAGTAGCTATCTTTGTTCATGTTCCTTTATTAACGGTATTACCGTTAGGGAGTTCTCCATCTCCATGAAAACATGAATAGGTGAAATGAATAAAAGTTTTTATCTGAGCTTTTAATTGTCTCGAAAAGCTTTATGGATCTATTCAGTAATCTAACTCAACTGAAACAAAATAGGCAGATGATAAGTTATTTTTCTTCCTTGCGCTCTTTCCTCACCTTCAAGTCATTCCAAACTTTCTCGAAAACTAACAGTTTTAGAGAAAAATAACAACAGATCCCTTCCGCTGCACAAAGCTATTTTCAACATATCCCCCTCTTATTATTGACTCCCACCCCCACGTGTCTCTAATTTTTTTCCTCAAATTGATAAGAGGAGATTGTACCACCCTATCTCCAATATCAACCATCTCTAATCCTCATGTTCCTCTACTCCGTATTACTGCGAAGAAATTCTTTTTCTCCATGAGGCTATGAATGACGAAATAAAACGATTAAAAACGTCATCCGAGCTTTTTACTTTTCCGGAAATCTTTATGGAACCATTCATTAATCCAAGTTAACTCTAATGCAATAATCTACAGATAAGCTTTTGTTCCTTCTTTCTGTTCTTTCCTTAACTTCAAACCATCTCACAATTCCTCGAAATCTAAAGAGTCTAAAGATGAATGTCAACAAATTCCTTTTGTTGCACAAAGTTATCTCCAACTGATCCCCCCTCCCTCAACATTGATTTCCGCCCCCACCCCACACGCCTCGCTAATTTTTTTTTTTAATTGATAAGCCAAGATTGGTTCACCTTATCTCCAACATCAACCATCGGTAATCCTCATGTTCCTCTAGTCGGTATTACTATGAAGGAATACTTCTTCTCCATGAGGATATGAATGGAAAAATAAAACGATTAAAAACTTCATCCGAGCATTCAAATTTTCCGGCAATCTGTGTGAAGCCCTTCATTAATTCAAGTCAACTCAAATAAAGCAGCTTGCAGGTAACCTTTTTTCCTCCTTTTTGTTCTTTTGTGAGCATCAAACCATCCCATAATTCCTTGAAAACTAAAAGGTTCAGGGAAGAATGCCAACAAATCCCTTCTAGTGGACAAAATTATCTCGAACTGATCCTTCCCCCTCAACATTGATTTGCACCCCCACTCCACGTGCGTCACTATTTTTTTTTTAATTAATAAGCCAAGATTGTATCACCATATCTCCAGTATCAACCATCTCTAATCCTCATGTTCGGTATTACTGTGAAGAAATTCTTCTTCTTCATGAGGAAATGAATGAACAAATAAAACGATTAAAAACTTCATCCAAACATTCCAATTTTCCGGAAATCTTTGTGAATCCATTCATTAATCCAAATCAACTTAAATAAAATAACCCGCAAATATGCTTCACGTATGAAAAATAATATTCTACTGGAGTTCTATAAGAAATCTATGGAATTCTATTAGATATTGGATAAGAAAAAGTCAATAGATTTCGAATTTCTGTTCCAATTTTTCTCTTGAGATTTTTCCGCCGGATTGTGTTTCGTTTTGAAAAAAATTACAGAATCGGAGTCGAAAAAACTTAGAAAATTAATGTCCAAGCATTCTTTATAGAAAAAATCTCAAGACAAAAATTCAAACAGAGTGTCGAAATCTATTGACTTTTTCTTATCGAATATCCCACAAAATCAGCGCAAAAAACAAATAGAATTTTCAATAGAATTCCAATATTAATCCTATAGAAACTCCATAGAATTCCAGTAGAATTTTCTAGCCAATTCACTAGGTTTTCTATTGATTTCTTTCATGCGTATTTTTTCCTTCTTTTTGTTCTTTCCTTAACTTCACACCATCCCACAATTCCCCGAAATCTGAAGACTTTAGGGAAGAATGTCAACAAATCCCTTCTGTTGAACAAAGTTATCACCAACTGATCTTTCCTCCTCAACGTAGATTTCCACCCCCACCCCGCAATTTTTTCAAATTGATAAGCCATGATTGGCTTGCCTTATCTAATGTCAACCGTCTCTACACCGTCAAATACCTCTCTTTAGATTAATGTCATACTGGGAATTACTCTCTAGTCTCTCTCGACTTTCCTTCGAAATGAATACAAAGTCCAAGGCAATGGACAAGTGGAAAATCTCGAATATCTGGGTTTACATACTGATGCAATTAACAGTCTGACGTGAAATCGTGGTGAATAAATACTGCGGAATACCCTCAAGTGATGATTGAATGATTATTTATTCGATTGCTATCAGCTACAATGGAAGTTTTTCAGCTGACAACAATTTCAATTCCTTTATTGTTCTGATCAACGTGAAAGATGAAATGCCTAATTATATTTTGGAAATTTCCTCGGTTTCAAAGCATCGAGATCAGGGGATCTTTCGTCACTCATACATCGTTTAATGACAAATATGAATAAAAAAATTGCGATTAAAAAAATATAAAAATTGTACAAAGATTAAAATAACTTATGCTTAATTAACTGATATAGTGCTATTTGATGCTCCTCTTGTTCTTTCGCGATTTTTGCAGGAGTTTTGGAATTTCAGCTGTTAATATCTTCATTTCGTTCTCCAAGTTCTCTTTCAGAGACTTTACTCTTTGCTCCTGCGGGGAAAACCGTCGAAGATAATAATTAGATCATCAGATTAGTGGATCAAATAGAAGAGGAATTCGAAAAGTTTCGATAATGGAGGAAGAGTCGCAGTCTATTGAACACACGAGTCGGTTTTTTAAGGATGTCCACATGAGATAAGCATCATGATTAAGATATCAACGTAATGAATTTTGCAATCAGCTTCAATGTCTTATCTTGAGTCTGAAGCATAGCCATAAATCAATGCAATGCAGAACCGACGACTATTGGAATGCCACAAGTTTTCCCGGAGTGGAAGCATTATCAAGGTATTATGGGATTAATTGAGTAATTGGAAAACTTACACACTGACTTCTGTAGTATTCCTGCAGCAATGCAAATGTTTCCTCGAGCGTCCAGTCTTGTTCTACGGGTTTGTTCAGTTTGATGTAGGGACAATTGACCTGGTGAGACTTGTGCTCCTCCCAGGGATCATCAGTGGCCTCCCAACCGTCCAACTGTTTCCCACAGAAGAAACATTCAGCGAGATCTGGCTCCTCTGTACCATTGACAGCGAAGAAGCCAGCTGCTGCCATTGCTTTTGGATTGCAGGGATCGTTGTGGCTGAAAGGCCAGTTGTTGAATGTTTCCAGTCTTCCTTTGGACCCGAATTTTGGATCGAGACATCTGGAATTTATATTAGCAAGAAATTGATAAACACATTACATCCACATTTCTAACGAAACTGCGAATTTCAGGACAAGTCCCTTAATGAGTCTATTTCCTTTCTCATAAAGTTGATTGACAATGAATGATTGTTTTGATTGTTAACTTTTTATTCGCCTTGCGATTGGTTGATGGATCAATCAATGACTTCCATGACTACGAGGATGTTATTGTGCGTTACAGCGCTCACTTGAAGGTGGTCGCACGCGACGGCGCGCATAACTGCCTAGTATTAATATAAATTAAATAAAAAGTAATGAACATGATTTTTTTTCACTTTTCGTATTCAAGAATGTTTATCATTATTTCCGAAAATCACATGATTTTGTATGCAATATACAATGTCAATACGAGTGCGAAAAAGTGTTTATGCCACTCATGCCTGAAACCGGCTGGATTACACACTCGACGCTTCGCGTCTCGTGTCTAATTCAGCTAACGACATAAAGTATTTTCTGACGAATGTGGCTTTGTAGGCCGAGCCGAAGGCGAGGCTATAATCACATTCGTCAAAAAATACTTTTGGACCGTGTGATGAATGCAATTTTTCGTCAGAAGGCCCATAAACCGCGATTCTAACCGAGCGAAGCTCGGTTAGAATCGAGCGAAGCAAGGTTAGAATCGCGGTTTACCGGGCCTTCTCACGAAAAACACTTTTTCATCACTTATGTGTAAAGTGACATTTGACGCATATTCCGCGTGCACAAAATCATACTTTTCACACATCGTGATGGAAAATACGGTTCGATACTCTTGAGAAAAGTGTTCTTTGACCCTTGGGAGGGTAGCAGACACCTCCCACGGGTCAAAAAACACTTTTCTGACGTGTGGAAAGTGTGTAGGGCTCGCCGAAGACAAGTGCTATCCTCCCAAGGGTCAAGGAAAACTTTTTCCACGAGTATCGAACCCGATTTTTCATCACGATGTGTGAAAAGCGGGATTTTGCACACGCCCAGCGTGCATAAAATTTGACTTTGCCCACAAGTGACGAAAAAAATGAGATGTGTCACACATGCGTGCGAAAAAGTGGAACTTTACACATTAGTAACACAATATACTATTTTCGGGGGTGCGAGGTGCCTTCGGCGCATGCTACCCTCCTACGGGACAAAAAACTCTTTTCCAACGAGTGTCAAACGCTATTTTTCATCACAATGCGCATCAAGTAGGGTTTTACACGCGGAGCATGTGTAAAATGTAACTGTACCCCAAACCTTATTCTTCTTAGATGAGGAAAGTCCTTGGAAGATTGAAGATTTTCCAAACAAGAATAAACATACAGACAAGAATAGTAATTGATACTGACCTTACTTTCTAGAAAACTCCACAAAAAAAAGAAGAACACAAACCTTTTTTTTGCTCATGAATCGGTAAATATTTGAGTTGCAACAAACGAAACATTCTTCAGACAAGAATAAATCATTTAAGAAATAACTGGTTTGAGTTTGATTAAATCGATAATGATGACGATAACTCATCCCTGAATGTGTCTGATTGTAGCAAATTCGAATGAGTTATTTTGAGAACTGTTTATTCTTGTCTGGAAAATCTTCAATCTTCCAAGGATTTTCCTCATCTAAGAAGAATAAGGTTTGGGGTACGAATTTTTTCATGCTTAATCCCTGATGAAGGGTCACGAGGGTCAAAATAGGGATCGCGAAGTATAAAATGAGGGTCAGAATAAGAGTTACAATGGTCACAATAAGGGTCTAAAGCAGGGTCAATGGGGCTCTCTCTATATTATAAAAATCCAAATCAACTTCTGGAGATAAAAATTTGGTACTCGAAATTAAGAATTGAAAATTAAGGATCAAAAACCAAGTGACCCTTAATTTTTTGGCTTAAAAAAATATTAATTAAGCCCCTGTTAATCAACTTTATCCTTCAGGAAGGCTCTCTCAATAATCCTACCTCAATCGAGTAAATTTAAACGATTTATTATAAATATTAATGGAAAATAATAATAAAAATACAACTCTATGGTCTCGACAATTTCTCACACTTCTCTCTGTCGACTCTCCTCTCGCCCGCTATTCTCTCCTCTCACTCTTCTAAATCTATCCTACTCTTTTTCTTACTCACACACTCTACACGGAGAGAAATTTTCTAGAAAAATTCTAATACGAGTATTGGAAAAATCACAATCCACCGGCTGTGAAAAATTCTAGTGCTGTTAAGGTGAAATTTCTTGGTATTTCTGGTAAAATTTCTGAGGATTTCTGTGAAATTGTCACAGAAATACGGGGAAAATTGACGTTTTCCCCAATAAAATTTCTAGTTCCGGCACTGAAATTTTTTTCTGGCCGTCACTTTGCACGTCTTTTCCCGCGCTAGCACTAGAATTTTTCTAAAAAATTTCTCTCCATAAGGGTCAGAAATGAAGGGTTAAAAACCATGGGTCAGAATAAGTGTCCAACAACGGGTCATGGGGGTCAAAATAACAGTCAATTGAATCATATGAAGGTTGACGAGCAGAATGAGCAGGGGGCGTAGCCCCCTAGTTAAGAAAAAAAATTGATGGATATCAAGACAAAATTGTTTATAAAAAAGATCTGATAATTCTTCGTATCATCCGAGCATGATAATGTGACATTCTACGGGATGACTTACGATGGAATGATTGTCAATTTTATGAGTGTTGATTGTTAATTTTTTCACTGACAATCTTGGAATAGTATTTTTTACCGGATTTATTGATTTCTAGGATGTTTGGATGTTTGGTCACCGCATTTATTAGTGTTGTCAATTTTAGAGTGCAATCCTATCGTGGACACGAGGCAGTTGGAGGGAACTATCTTCGTTCATCAATGGATTATCTCAAGAATGGCTTCGAGAAAATTGCAGACACCGAGATAATTCGATATGGAATGAGACAAGTTATGTGAACTTGAAATAAGTTAAAAAGTTATGTCAACTTCTCCATTAAATTCATAATGTTTATCCAAGAGAATGGACACATGTACAGTAGGATGTTGATTTTTATACGCAGTTTCCTCTTCAATCGTGTCTCATTATAATAAAGTAGCAAAGCGATGAACCATAATGGTGATTTATTACAATCAACGGTGTTTGTAACAATTTACACAACTGCATCATTAAATTTTAGGAGAAGTTGAAGTTTACCAATCCAGTTACACATTTAGCAATCTGAATTCCACATTCTATAATAGGGAACTAGCGATTTTTTTGGTTCAAATAAGACTTGTTTGAAAAAAAAATTTTTTCTCTCAGTGTAAAATTCAGATCGCGCAATGTGTACGCCGAGAAAAAAATCCAATATCTGAAACATAATTAGCCAAGACAAGTAATTTTTATTCAATCGCTTAATTCTCCCAGAGATCTCAACTCACGTGGCTCGAGAAAGGTCTTATGTTTTAAAATATTCTTGTATTCAAGTCTGATTAAAAAATTAAATAGAAAAACTTAGCGAATTGGCTAAAAAATTCTATTGGTATTCTATTAAAATGCTAAGAAATTCTCATTAAAATTCTATTTGTTTTTTGCACTGATTCCATGAGAAATTTGATAGGAAAAAATCAATAGATTTTGATTGTTCCATATGAATATTCTCTTGAAATTTTTTCTATAAGAATACTTGGCTATGGATTTTCTAATTTTTTTTCACTCGAATCCTGTAATGCAAAAAAAACAAAAGATAGCGGAAACAACTTAGAAAATCCGTGCTCAATAATTTTAATAGAGAAAATCTCAAGAGAAAAATTCAAACAAAAGAATCGAAATTTATTGACTTTTTCCTATCAAATACCTAATAGCATCTGCGCAAAAAACAGAATTTTAGCCAGCATTCTCTAGAATATTAATAGAATCCCCATAGAATTTCTATAAAATTGCAATCAGATTTTCTAGCGAATTCGCTAAGGTATCCTAGTAAATGTTTTCATACGTGAAAATCTGAAACAAATTCTAAACGGAAGTTGATACGAATGAAAACATTGAATCGGCGGTTTAGTATTATTGATGATGATTAATTTAGAAGTACCAAAACAACACCGAGTATCATAAGGAAAAATTATTGCGAGGCTAGAGAGAAGATTAAAATGTAGAAAAAAATATAAAAAATCAGAGAAAATTAATAAAAATGTTATGCGAATTTTATACGAAAATTGTCGTCAGTGTCAAACTTTTGTGATAAATAATTTATGTTTCAGGGTACCTCGAATGTACAGGATGCCCTTTTCAAACAAGCAATTATTGTTTAAGAAAATCAGTAGTGAAGTGGTCAAAAGATTTAAGTCAATTCCATTCTAGCGTCAGTTCTCGATGAATATCTCAATTCTAAAGGAGTTAGCAAATTTTTCCTGAAAATCTTTTTTGTAAAGAAAAATGAAGACTATCGCAAAAGATCTTACAAAAATTTCGCTTTCTTAAATTCCGAGTTATTCAAGAAAAATTCAACTGGGAGCTCAGTCGACTTAAACCGTTTGACCACTTCACTATTGAAATGATTGTAGAGAGAATTCGATGGATTAATTTTTTACTCTCGTCAAAAATGTTTTAATTAGCAGAAAAAAAATTATCTGAATTGAAAATAAAAAAAAACAAGGAATAATTCGATTAAGAAATAGTTAAATGCAGCCGAAACCCCTAATTTCTGGACCACTGGGCCGTATTTATTTATTTATTAAATGTCAATCAATAGGAAAAATAATCACATGATTATACACGAGTAATATTATTTAAAATTTCCATTTTATGTATGGAATATTCAATGCAAGGTGATATCGTCTAGAAATCGACCGGTTTACTCTTCTTGGATATCCTTAACGCACAACATAAAGTATGTCAAAAATTAAGAGACTCTACTGTGCATAACAGGTAATTTTGTTGAAAAATGCTCCCGATATTGAAGCAAGCCTTCAATTTTAGTCAACATTGACATGTGAAAACTCAAGATATGGTCCAGATACAATTATAAAATAGGAGAGCACGCACGAAAAAATTTAATAGAAAAACCTATCGAATTCGTTGGAAAATTCTATTGACATGTTCAATAGAAAAAATTCAACAGAAAAAGTCAACAGAATTCGATTTTTCTATATAACTTATTCTCTTCATATATTTTTTATAGAATTTGCTCGACTCAAATTTCCCAAGTTTTTTTCATTCTATTTTTCTTGTCTTCTCATCAAGAAAATCAAACGAAAAAACTTAGAAAATTTGAGCCGAGGAAACTCTATAGAAAATATCTCAATAGAATAAGTTATAGAAAAATTGAATTCTATTAACTTTTTTTACTGAATATTTTCTATTGAACATTTCAATAGAATCGGCCAAAAACTAATAGAAGAGTTCAATAGAAATTCAATAGAGTTTTGTAACGAATTCGATAGGTTTTTCTCTATTAAATTTTTTCGTCCGTGAGAGTGGGGTAAAATGGACACTTTTGACTTTTTCTTCAACTGTTAATGACAGGTTGAATTCTTAATTGTTGGAGTATATATTATAGCTCTTTACTGAGAGCTTATTTAATGAGATTATGCGTCCAAAAACGAAATATAAACATGAACAATAATTTCATAGGGAAAATGAACTGAGGGTTCTTTGTGTTTAGGTGACGAAATGATGATATTCTTTTGGTACAGACGTTTCTTCCTCGTGCTATATCAATGAAGAAAGAAAATCACAGGGAAATTTACGGCGTTTAATAATTATTTCATGGCCCATTTCCATTATTAATGAAATGGAATTTTTTTTTAAGGAAAAGAACAATTCTTTCGATTTGTGATGGGCCTAAACTGATCTCAATTGAAAAATCTGTTTCTGAGTTAGGGGAGGGTGGGGTAAAAGGACACTGGACTTTTTTAACATTACTCATAACTCAGAGACAAATTTATTAATTGAGATCAGTTTAAGCTCATGACAAAGGGAAAGAATTGTTGTTTGTATTGAAAAGAAAATTTACTAAATTTCATCAACATTTCAACCCGTCATTAACATTTAAAAAAAAGTAGTGTCCATTTTACCCCAGCCTCCCCTGTAAATATTTATTAAAATGTCAAAAGTGTCCAGTTTAAGCCACCCTCTCCTGTCATCAATAATAAATTTGTAAGCTACAAATAACACCGATAAAATTGCAATAAAATTCCGCAAAAATGAACGATCACTCATCCCAAGCACAACACACCTTTAAAGGTTAATCCTGCTGTCTGTCATCACACGACACTCAATCAATCATCAACCGATAAAAAACGAAAATACCATTGATAAATCCATAGACACTTACGCAAACAGATCCATCCTGTTATTTATGTCGTATTATCTTCTTCCGCAATAATATGATCAACGATTGTTTATGTTTATTCTCGTGCCGAGTGGTGCTGAGCCAGCGGATCACGTTCAACGGCCGTTTGGAGCAGCCGAAACTTTCGAAAATTCAGGGCTACCAAATCACCGACACTAAAATCCATTTCCATGACTTTGGCGAGCCTGACGTTGCCACGGAAACCGCGCGGGAATTATTGCTTTCACTAAATGCAATCATCAGTGTCTGAGCGTCTAATTCATTCATTCTATCGAATTAAACAAAGTTTTGTCATCTGTTTTTCAAGTTAATTTGACTCCGATGGACGTGCAGGAACTGAATATACTCGGAATTATTGGATTTGATGGTGCAAAATTTATTCTTAAGTTCACTTTCTCCGTTCGGTCCAATAGTAGGAGAGAATGGGGCAAAATGGACACTTTTCACTTAAAAAAAAAATTTCAGTAGCCAAGTGGTAAACCGGATTAAGTCGATTTAGACAATTGACCAGTTTTTGACGAATATCTCGGAATCCAAAAGAGTGTCCATTTTACCCCACCCTTCCCTAATAATTTGATGTGATTTTTTGATGTTTTTTTGTGTTTTTTTGATGTTTTTGTTTGCGGTCCAGGGAGAACGAAAAATGCATTACATATGCATCCGGATGGCAAACATCTTATTTATTCAATGGGGAGCAAAGTTACTGTAAGAAATGTTGATAGTGGACATCAGGAGTTTCTCGCTGGGCACACGAACGTCGTCACTACACTGAGTATTTCACGTTGCGGCTCGTTCATCGCTTCGGGACAACTTACACATCTGGGGTTCAAAGTAAAGTGATTTTTAATTAATGATACGGGGGCCATTCAAATATTACGTTATAGGGGAGGGTGGGGCAATACGAACACCTGGGATAACACGGAAACTCAAAAAAATTGCGAAAAAATATTGTTTCCAAAATGCAAATTTTTTTACATCACGCATAAAAAAATTCAATAAGAATTCGCTAGGTTTTCTATTGGAATTCTATTGAAAAATTCTATTTGTTGTTTGCACTGATTCTATTGGATATTTAATAAGAAAAAGTGAATAGATTTCGCATTTCTGCTTGAATTTTTCTCTTAGATTTTTTCTACTAGAATTATTGAGCACAAATTTTCCAAGTTTTTTTCCGCTAGATTTTGTTTTGTTTTGCATTGCAGAATTCGAGTGGACAAAACTTAGGAAATTGATGCCTACGAATTCATAGAGAAAAAATCTCAAGATAAAAATTCAAACGAAAATTCGAAATTTATTGACTTCTTCTTATTGAATATCCAATAGAATCAGCGCAAAAAAAACAAATAGAATTTTTCAATTGAATCCCAACAGAAATCCTATAGAAAACTCATAGAATTCCTATAGAATTCCAATAGAATTTTCTAGCGAATCCGCTAGGTTTTCTATTGAATTTTTTCATACGTGATTGTTTCATTGGGCAATCTGGACACCTGATAAATCCCTATAAAATGAACTAAAACGGACGCTCAAAAAATTTTCAAAAAAATTTGCAATAATCCAATTTTTTAAAATTTGCTTCTTGGCAAAGTCCGCAACCGAAAAATTATTCAAGAGTGGGGTAAAATGGATAATTGACAGCAGTCTCCCCTTAATTATTAACATTTCAAAAAAAGTCAAAAGTAGCAATTATGCCTCACTCTCTTCTACTACTTAATCACTGAAATGTCATGAAGATTATTTCAAAATTTCGCGGAAACTAATCCTTTTATTTCGAAGATACATATTCAGGCCGACCTCTTCTCTCAATTTCATGTAAATACTATTGATGATTTATTGTTTTTTTGTTAGGCCGCTGTTATCATATGGGACTTTGATGGGAAAAAGAGGAGGGGAAGTTACGAGATTCATAAAGCTAAAGTTGAAGACGTTTGTTTCACCTGCGAAGGCACTTATCTCATTAGCTTAGGAGGAAAAGACGACGGGAATATCGTAGTCTGGGACGTCTGCAATAATTCAGCAGTATGCGGTAATTTTTTCAAACCTTTGAAAATTTCGAATTTTCCATGAATTTCCTTGAAAGTGAGATCTTTAATGGTTTATTCGAATGTGATGTTTCAAATTCACTCAAGTATGTGTAAATAAAATTTTTATTTTAGGGCTAAGGGGAGAGATAGAAGCGCATAAAAGACAATCGGTTGAATAGAAAACAAGTGGAAAATTGCTTTTGTATTGCGTATAGTATAGTTATTTTTGTTAATAAATTAGCAATATGCTTCCGAACGGTTATTTTGGTGATTTTTTTCCATTGTATATTATTCATAGCGTATTTTATTTTCTTGAATTGAATCTATTTCTTTCCAAATAATTGTTTTAGATTTCCCACTTAAGGCCCGGGTGTACTATCTTTCGAATTTTATCTGGATTTTTTTTATCTTTCGTAATCCAAAATTGTCAATTAAGTGGTACATCATGTAGAAATTCCCAAAAATTATCATAGAATAATAAAAAAAAAGAAAAAATTCTTAATTTTTTCAAACAACGTTTTTAATTGAGATTCAGAATTCAGATTCGCTGTGGAAAATTATCTATTAGCTGTCATTTTCCATGGTGGATAATAAAACACTAACTCCTTATGGGAACTGACAGCTAGGTATCTCAATTTTCAAAACAGTGGTATGTAGTCATCTGCCATTTTTATGTGATAAAATTGTGATTAAAAAATTCTCCAAAATATTACAACATTCTTCAAAGAGCCTTTTCCGTAATAAATGACTCTGTGCAGTGTGGGAAAAGATTTACGCAACAGTCTTCCTCCTGCATGATAGTAGGTGACAGGCCGCCATTTGTCACCAGTAATCAGATACATTTTTCAATTTTTTGTTATTCAACTTATTCTGAATATAAATTAAAAATGCTCTTTGAAAAAATTAAGAATTTTTTCGACTTTTTTTTGATTATTCATTCATAATTTTTCAAAACTTCTGCAGGATGCAGGACTTAATTGGCAATTTCAGATGACGGAAGATGAAAAAAACATCGAAATAACGTTCGAAAAATAGTACACTCGGGCCTTAATGAAACTTCTAAAAATTTCTGAAAAATTCTATGAAATATTATTAGGAATATTTCATTTATACATAATTGAATACATTCTAAACGTCACATTTAAAGGAACCATTAGAAAGCTAACTTTCCGGGGAATTCATGAAAAATTCGAAATTTCCATAAATTATCCTAAAAATCCAATTAACCGAGACAGTTATTGTAACCATCTTCTAACTTCGATATAGTCGTATAGAAACAAACATATTAAGTTATGATTGAATTCATTTGAAGCGCAATATCCAGAGATATCTGCGGAATTCAGAGTTTCGAAAAATACGAAATTTTGGAAAAATTTCACAGAAATCAAAATAACGATTGTTGCTATCCCTTTCATGTTCGAACTCGGTCAAAAGGAGATTCCAACGAATTTTTGAAGCTGTCATTTAATGAATTTAGTACATTTTTTTTAAGTTATCGTGTTACGATAATTTCCGCAGTCATTTCTATTCCCAACTTTCACCGATCAATTTTTCAATATTAATATTCATCTGATGCCTTCAAAGGTGCCTACGCGAGTACCGAAATAACCGGGACCGCAATAACCCTCGCCACTTTAAACCATCGAAATCAATGTTTCGTAACGGGCGGAGAAGAGAACCTGAAAGTTTGGAGAATAAACCCAGAGACTCGTAAAGTTTACGGGGTTCCAATCAAAGTTGGTAAACTGCGGAGATCCATTAACTGTATTACAATAGACGATAAAGATGAGGAAGCATACTGTGGGACTTCCACTGGGGACATAATTAGAGCTCGGTAAGGAACTCACGCGTGAGGAATTTCTCTTCACGGAAACTGCATTCCATTTTCCTTGTTTTTGACATTCTTATTAACAACAGAAGAATTTTCCTCAATCAATTCATTTTTTCCTCGTCTCAGCCTCAACTACGATACTGATTTATCGAGAATGGAACCAGTACAGCCTCCGGTGATGATCGGATGCTACTCAAAAATCTCGACGAACCCGAAGAAATTAAAAATGGGAACCGGGGATTTATACTCTGGAGGAGTTACGAATGTTGTCATTCTTCCTGGTAGAAAGATAATCGTAGCCACTGGTGATGGAACAGTGGAGCTCGCTGGGGTCCTGGAACACCCGTCGAGCCCATCGTGCAAAGAGGCTGTTAAACTGCCCACAACTCCGCAATTACGACCAGTAAAATAGATTTAATTACCTGGAAATCTTCATTCACTGAGAATTTTTGACGTGGATAGAGTGAACAGTCTAATTATGGAACACTCAAGGGTCTTGGAGGTTCAGACAATGATTTAAAAATAAACTATTGTTTGAAAAAATATTTTTTTAAACTGGTCGATTCCAAATTCAGTAGATTTGAGAGAAAAAAAAACACATTATGTAATGGAAATAATCGGGAAGAATGAAAAATTATGTTCAAGTCCAAAAGACCTATAACTGAACAATTTTGCCACATGTGGAACATCGTGCGCCCAATTACGGAACATTAGGACTTTGTGAGATGATCAAAGATTTTAAACCCGAAGTAATAAGGATATTTTTGTAGAAAAATGACAACAAGTTCAGATTGTAATTGAAAATTGCAATTGTGATGCAAATTTTATTATGCAAAGAAACTCTTACTAGTAAGCAGCCGTAAAAATGAGTTACGTCGATCACATGAACACAAAACTCGTCTTTCTTCGTATATGAATTTGTCAGAACAATTTAACAAGCAATAGAAATATAAATGTCATTATATTTTCAACTTATCAATTATTTATATACTTTTGACTGAACCACTCCGGCACGTGCCAAAGTAAAAACCTCAGTGCTCCGTCGATTGGACATGCCATGAAAACCGAACCCAAATGGCGGAACACCCATATATTTGTAGAAATAAGAACTTTCAAATTCAATTAATGCAAAAATATGAAAATATGAAGCTTTTAGGATCAATATTAATCTGGACTTACATTTGATGATTATTTTCCCAAGTAATTTCGTTCGGCACATTAGCAGTCACACTGTCACATTAACTACTCACCTGTTGCAAAATGGCAATTAATTAAGTAATTTAATTTAAATAATTTAATTAATTTATAATTAAATATTCAAAACAATTCTCGGAGTTTTTCAGAAATAATTTTGAAAATGGCAGCTGGCAGGATTTATTTCCATTATTGAGCGGGAAACAGTAGATAGATCACCAAATATATTCTCATATCATGGATGGAAATATTGACTGGATTTTTAAAAAAATCGATTCGATAGATAGGTAAACATTCCATAAATCTGACAAAATATTCAAGTGTTCCGTTAATTGGAGAAGGGGCGGGGGGAGTTCCGCAATTGGACTGTTCACCCTACGTCTATGGTTTCATTAAATGAGGGGATGATTTTGGAAAAAAAGTATTTATGCTGCAGCGCCACCTATTGGAATTCTAGATAATTCTAGATTTTTATAATAAATTCGACAAAATTAATTAATTAAATTATTTAAATTAATTAATAATTAAATACTAAAAACAATTCGCGGAGTTTTTCTGAAATATTTTTGAATCTTCTTCCATATTTGAATCATGAAGAGAACTGCAGCAATCAATGTAAAAATTTCCAAAAAATTCTTAAACCTTCTGGAGAATTCTAGAAATTTATTGAATGTTGGAAAAATAAAATAGTAACATCCCAATATATGAAAAAAAAATCTTGAAAAAGAAATTTCTAATTGGAGGCTCCGTGACTATCGGAGAAATTAATACGAGAATTTAATTATTAAAAACCACGTAGCATAATTTCACATCAAAATTCCGAAATATTTTGCTTGAAAAGACCAGATTCCTGTAAAGATCAATGAATTTCCAAAGTGAACTTGAACTGATCGAATCTTCATTTCAACGATTTTTTGACTACAAAAAAAATTTTACTCATCCAATCAATTGTATTTATCCAATTTTACATACATGTATTTTGCTTGACTTCATGTTTCTCAAATTCTTTCCTAAGAAATCTCATATTTAATATTTGCTAACTCGAGAAAAAAAAGATTTATTTTTTTGTAATATATCTCTAATTTTTAAGAATTGATCTTTGATTCCAGAAATCGATTCCTAATATTTGAGAACAATCTAATCCTAATCTTTCGCAATTTTTGACACTAACTCGTATTACTCTAAACTCAGGATTATGTCACTGGAAATAAATGATAAAATCACTTGATTTCACGACTTCTCTGTGAACGAACAAGTTTCCTGATCCAAAACACATTCATTCGACAAAAATATATTTTTTCTCAGGGTATAAAAAAAGGCATAAATAACGGGGCAATTGACAGCCGACATTCTTTACCGATAATTGCGTTAACTATTCACCATTTAATTATTCATTACAGATGATGAAAGCACGTGTCGGAGGCTCAGTGACATCCATCGTGAGGCACGGCAAAAACTCGTTTGTCGTTGGAACGTCCTTCTGCGAAATTTATCAAATTTGTTTAACAGACTTCTCACCGAGGATTACCCTAACTTGTCACATTGACGCAGTTTACGATATTGCATTCCCTCAGTAATTGAAATCTACCAGTACTAATAATTATGTTATCAGATGAATTTTTTCAATTGAATGGAATGAAGAAATACGACGTTTGCACGGAGAAAAAAATTCCAGAAAAATTACTGTGGTAGCACGGTAAAATAGGTTCATTTTGACCCGGCAAAACTCCCGTGCCAGTACCGGAATATCTGTCGTGCGCCACATGAATTTTTCGCGGATTTACCGTGAAAAATTCTTGTACTCCACAGCAAATTTTGCGGTGGTGGCACGGTAATTTTTTCGGGTCCAAACGGACCCATTTACTGTGCTGGCACAGTAATTTTTCTGGAATTTTTGGCTCCGTGAGGATGAAAAAAATTGAAAACATATATATATATTTTTAATTTATGAAAGAGGGAGGGAAACGTAGGAACGGGTGGGGCAAAATGGACGCTTTTGACATTTTTTTCCATACAAATAACTCAGAAATGAATTTATCAGTTGAGCTCAGTCTAAGCGGATCACAAAGAAAATGAATTGTACTTCTCATGAAGAAAATATTATCCCATTCCATTAGCAATTTAAAATGTTAATAACATTTGAAAAACAGTCAGAAGTGTCTATTTAGCCCCACTTACCCCTCTATATGTCATAACACAGACATTTCCAATCGCTGATAACTTATTAATTCTTTAGTATTTATCAAAATGAGAAAAGACGTACGTGAGACAAAATTTCATAGAAAAACCTAACGAATTCGCTGCAAATGTTTTTTGGATTTCCGTTTAATTTTCTATTAGTTTTTGGTCGATTCTTCTATACAACTTATTCTGTTGAAATATTTTCAATAGAAATTCTTCAGTTCAAATTTTCTAATTTCTTTAAATTTATTTGTTTAACGAAAAGAAAAGGAAAATAGAGTGGAAAAAATTAGAAAACTATGAAAAGTCGAAGAATTCTTATAAAAAATGTTTCAATAGAAAACTGGGTATAGAAAGATGCAGTTTTGCTGATGTTTTCTATCAAACAGTTTCTGTTGGACATTTTCTATAAGAAAACACGCACAGTAAGCTGTGGAATTCTTCAAAAAAATCGGCCAACAAATAAATAAAAATTTGAGATATTCGCTATAGATATTCTTCTGCTCAAATTTTCCAAGTTTTTTGTTTTATTCTTTCCACGAAAAGAGAAGAAAAATAGCGTAGAAGAAACGTAGAAAACTCATGGCAAGGAATCCCTATAGAAAAAGTTTCAGCGATCAGTCGACAATCATTCCATTTGTAATATTTTGTAATATTATTAGAATTTGCACCTTTCTATTACTATGATTTTGTTATCTTACTTGAAATTTAAATATTCGATTGATGATTAATTTGGTAATTGAAAATTGTTGGGTAATATTGTCAATTAACACAAGCTAAATTTAACTTATTTAAAAATTGATGATTGTTCTAATTCCTGGAATGTTTTAATAGAAAAAGTTGTATATAAAGATGCAATTCTACTGAATTCTTCTATAAAATGGTTTCTATTGCCAATTTCCTGCGGAATTCTTCAACATAATTAAACAAAAACGTATAAAATTTTCGATAAAAGTTCGATCGAAATTCAACAGAATTTCCTACCGAATTCTCTAGATTTTTCTATGAAATTTCCTCGCGCGTGCGTGTCTGTCCTCTTTCATTCAATTTTAAAATCAATCAACTTCAAAAAGTCATTGCAAAATCCCAATTTCTTCTTGTGATAATCCGTATCTAATTATGATTATTTACAGCAATTATTCTGAGATATTTGCAACCGGAAGTAAGAACGACATTCGATTATGGCATTTAGATACGCGAAAGGAATTACTCAGAATCACAGTACCTAACTTTGTATGCACGTGTCTCTGTTTCTCGTACGACGGAAAATTGATTATGTCTGGTAATTGGCATGCCATAATTTTTTATTGAGGCTCAACAGAACGGCAGTCACTCAATTGCTATTGTTATCTGAAGCGGTTCTAGTTGAGAACTCATTACGTTCCACTCCTCAAATGTCTCAAGGATAATTTTAAGCATAATTTTTTTCCAATTAGCGTGGAACGACGGAATTGTTCGAGCCTTCAGGCCCCAGAGCGGAAAATTATTCTTCGCTATTGAGAATGCTCACGTGAAGGCAGTGTCTGCTCTCTGTCTGACGAAAGATGGGAAGACACTGGTGACGGGGGGATGCGATGGGCAGGTGAGATTCTGGAGGATTTTGAAAAATGTTCAACAGCTCAGAGCATTGCTGAAGGAGCACAGGGGACCCATTACCGCTCTTCATGCCTCCCAGAGCGATGAGGAGGTCGTTAGTTCGAGTACTGATGGAACTTGCATCATTTGGGATGTCATGTAATGATTGATAAATATTCATAAATTTTATTAGCCACCTTCAGCGTCGACGATTCAAGAATAAAAAAGAAAAGTGTTGAATCGTGAATTATAATTATTATTGCTGACAGTTTTTGTAGTTTCAGTAATTTCGTTATCATTATCATTATTCAATTCTCGAATGAAATTTATTTTAAGAAATTTCGGCTTTTTTTGAGCATCATTAATTTTAATGTTGTCGAGTAGAATTTTAAGTCAAAATGGTTTTAGGTCAAATTTTATCTCTTTTTTAATTCATTCGCATCAATAAAACAATTATGAAATTTCAGATTTGGTCCAAACTTCGCCATAGATTCAACCATTTTCAATTATCAAATTTCTGAATTAATTATAAAATTTAATTTTATTTAAATTATGTGAGAAAAATTTGAAAAAAATCATAAATATTCAGCGCCATTGAAACTGCATTTTGCATAGATTTATTATTTTTTAACCATTCGCTAATTATAAATAAATGGTTGGAATTGTTTAAACTTTCGGAAAAAAAATTTTTAAGCATGAAATCGATTTCTGGTCAAATTCTGAATATTAATAAATTTGTTACGTTTCATTCGAAAGATAGTACACCCGGGCCTTAAATTTAAAAATATTCTATCAAACAATAATTTAGGTAGGAAGATTGACGATTATTTGGATAATCGAAAATCAAGTACCTAAATTTAGAATCAGCTTGTTAACTAAAAAATTACATTTCAGTATTATCAAATATTTTATTCACCATCAATCGAAAAAGTCAGCTAATAAATTCTATAACATTTTAAATTTGTTAAATACCATTGAACTTTGAACAATATAAGGAGATAATCCCTTTTTAATATTGTCAAAATCTAATATTATTGTCTATCCCTGTTAGAAAGAATTGAGCTTCATGCAAGTTCCCTATTGAAAAAATGTTCTCTAGGAACTGCTGCCGAAAGCAAGTAATGATGGGGAATACAATGCACATGTCAGCGAGATTCCACCCGAGCGGTCTCCAAATATTGACCTGCGGTAGCGACAGGAAGATCAGCTACTGGGAGACCCTGGACGGCTCCCTGATTCGGGAAACTGAGGGTTCGACAGTGGGAGCCCTGAACTGCCTAGACATAAGCCCAGATGGTCGTTATTTCGTCACCGGGGGAAGTGACTGTCTGTTGAAATTCTGGGACTACCACACGGCGGAGGTGACGTACGTGGGCACAGGTCACGCAGCCATCATCACAGCCTGCAAATTCGACTCAAAGGGCACTCACATCGTCAGTGCAAGTGCAGACGGTGCTGTCATCATCTGGAGGAGTCCAATAGCCCTTTCCCTGGATTCTGCGAAGAGTTCGAAGCACTCTAGAGCCTCGAGGTGCTCCAGGGAGTCTAGAGAAGTCAGAGAGGAGAACATTGACAAGATCAGTCAACGATCTGGGGATGAAAGCGTCAGGACAGTCCACGAGAGTGAATATCTTACTCGATTTATTTTGGGGGCAAAAACGAATGTCTTCACACACCTTTTGTAGACATGTTTCAAACACAAAAAAACGTCTGAATAAAATGAAAATTTGTTTGAATTTCAAACATGATTTAAGATGTCTGGGCACCGGTGCGTCGGACATTCAAACACGTTTTTATTTTATTCAGATGTTTTTCAGTTTCTGAAAAATGTCTACAAATTTCAAATTTAGAAATTTAAGGCCCGGATGTACTATCTTTTGAACGTTATCTCGATGTTTTTTTTCATCTTTCGTCATCTGAAATTGTCAATTAAGTCCTGCATCATGCAGAAGCTTTGAAAAATTATGAATGAATAATCAAAAAAAAAGGAGAAAAAATTCTTGATTTTTTCAAAGAACATTATTAATTTGTATTCGGAATAAGTTGAAAAACAAGATTTACGGTGACAAATGGTGGTCTGTCACCCAATATCATGCAGGGGGAGACTGATTTCGTAAATCTTTTCCCACACTGCACAGAGACATTTATTACGGGAAAGGCTCTTTGAAAAAAGTTGTAATATTTTGGAGAATTTTTTAATCACACTTTTATCACATAAAAATGGCAGATGACTACATGCCACTGTTTTGAAAATTGAGATACCCAGCTGTCACTTCCCATGAGGAGTTTGTGTTTTGTTATCCACCATGGAAAATGACAGCTAATAGATAATTTGCCACAGCAAATCAGATATTTGTAATTTCTACTTTTTTCAACTCATTCTGAATCTCAATTGAAAACGATCTTTGAAAAAGTTCAGAATTTTTTCTACTTTTTTAAAAAACAATTCTATCATAACTTTTGGAAATTTCTACATGATGTACCATGGTGGATAACAAAACACCAACTCCTCATGGGAAGTGACAGCTTGGTATCTCAATTTTCAAAACAGTGGTATGTAGTCATCTGCCATTTTTATGTGATAAAAATATCATTAGAAAATTCTCCAAAATATTACAACTTTTTCCGAAGAGCCTTTTCCGTAATAAATGTCCCTGTGCAGTGTCGGAAAAGATTTACTAAATCAGTCTTCCTCCTGCATGATATTGGGTGACAGGCCGCCATTTGTCGCCGTAAATCAGATACATTTTTCAATTTCTTATTATTCAACTTATTCTGAATATAAATTAAAAATGCTCTTTGAAAAAATTAAAAATGTTTTCTACTTTTTTAAAATTATTCATTCATAATTTTTCAAAACTTCTGCATGATGCAGGACTTAATTGACAATTTCAGATGACAAAAGATGTAAAAAAACATCGAGATAACGTTCGAAAGATAGCACACCCGAGCATTAAATGTAAATTAAATATTTTATACCAATTTTAATAGTCTTTTACAATCTTGTCACCTGGTACCAGGAACTTCTCATATATTAAGCCCTTACATGTTCCGTTACTATTAATGATGGGTCAGGGCCAATAATATCATATAGAATGCAAATTGGACCCCTTCTCGATTGATTTGAGAGCTTGCCTACGAGACCTTCTCATCATCGATGACCTCTCTAGATGCCCCGACAATATTTCAGAGAATTCTAAAAAAAACTTTTCTGGCATTTATCGCCTAAATATTGATTTCAAAATGAAAAAAATTGTCCACCAAACGCACTAATTATAACTTAAAATCACTTTAATGTCTTTAAATAAATTAAAAATTCTTTCATCGAATAAAAAATGTTAAATGTGAAATATTCGTAGGTAAACATTCGGAGGTCTGCGAATACGATCCGATAAGGCCGGCCCAGGACAGCTGCAGGTGTCGAGAGGAGAAGCAAGCTCCAGTCAATCAGGAGCATTCTCCACTGAAGAGGAATGAGTCCCTGGGAGAGGCCAATGGCCAGAGACGTCTGGAGAAGAGTGAATTGTGCCTCGCAATAACTGGCGCACAGTGATGAAGACCTGGATGATGGATGATTTTTTTATTAAAGCTGTCTTTAATTTCAACCCCATGCTTGGCTCTTGCAGTAGTGGATTATTAGCTTCCCATCTGTTCCGTAGCACTCGTAGAGGTTTTTCACTGTTTGGTCGGGGGCTGGAGCGAATGTCTGGTTTATGTAGAGAAACTGGAATTTAATTGATTTTAGGGGTTGAGTAAATTTGGAAAGGATGGAGATTTGGCAATTCTGGATTTGATTTTTGATTTGGGCAAGGGAAGTCTTTTCGATGATCAATAACTTAATATTATTACAGTGAGAGAAACATTCATTTTAGAAGTACGTTTATGCTTATATCAAGAAACTGATGGTTTAAAAATCTTCAAGAGCGAAATATCTTGCACTAAAAAAAAATCATCACTTCTTTAAAAAGAAATCATCATTTCTTTAGTCATGAAACTTTGCACTTGTCCTAAGGACGAGGACAATTTCTTGATGACAAGAAAGAAATATCTTAAGGCCCGGGTGTACTATCGTTCGAATGTTATCTGGATTTTTTTATCTTTCGTAATCCAAAATTGTCAATTGAGTGGTATATCATCTAGAAATTCCCCAAATTATGACAGAGTGATAAAAAAAAAATAGAAAAAATTCTGAACTGTTTCAAACAGTGTTTTTAATTGGGATTCAGAATGAGTTGCAAAAAGCGGAAATTACAAATATCTGATTCGCTGTGGTATGTAGTCAAAACTGTGGTATGTAGTCATCTGCCATTTTTATGTGATAAAAGTGTGATTAAAAAATTCACCAAAATTCTACAACTTTTTTCAATGAGCCTTTTCCGTAATAAATGTCTCTGTGCAGTGGGGGAAAAGATTTACGAAATCAGCCTTCCCCCTGCATGATATTGGGTGACAGGTAGCCATTTGTCACCGTAAATCAGATACATTTTTCAATTTCTTGTTATTCAACTTATTCTGAATATAAATTAAAAATGCTCTTTGAAAAAATTAAGAACTTTTTCTACTTTTTTAAAATTATTCATTCATAATTTTTCAAAATTTCTGCATGATGCAGCACTTAATTGACAATTTCAGATTATGAAAGATGAAAAAAAACATCGAGATAGCGTTCGAAAGATAGTACACCCGGGCCTTAAACTAATTAAAATTGAATTAATTCATTTAATAGTGTTTTAGCCTAAATTCTAAAAAATTTTAATGCAAAAACCACTTGAGTTAATTTGAGAACTTATTGTCTTGATATGAATCAACTATCCGCATCTTTCGGACAGGTATCTGTTACGATTTTATATAAATCCAGGAACACAATAGATAATTATCAACAAAATGTATTTAGTTCAGTCAATTCAAAAGCACATCTGTCAATTATGAAGAGTATCAAAAGGCATAAAAAAAGTTGAAGAATATGAACAGAGTTCAGAGTCTTAAGACAAACAAAAACACAATCAGACACTTTGATTTTCTCAACAGTATCAAATTTCTTGGCGTAAGATTTGTTTTTGTTAGCGTGAGATATTGTAAACTTGATAATTTTCGAATCCTAAGCCTAAGTAAGGATGTACCTTTCAAAAAACTTGTCTTCTCAGTGTAGGGTGGGACAATGGCATAACATTCAATTAATTTGATGCCATTATGAAAGTATTATTTCAAGCACATCTAAGTACCTTTGACAGTTTCTCCAATTGTAAATTTGGAGATTTTCAGCGATTATAAATTCAATTACGTTTTTTTAAAACATTGCCTTATGAATGAATCATGGAATTTGTTTTATCTCACAAAAACCTTATTTTTGGCATAAAATCAAATTGTCAAACAATCCTATGTGAACAAATTCGTTAAAATGTCGAAGAAAATGTTCTTAAAATTGAAAACTGATTGATTACAAGCAAGAAATGTCATTTCTACCACTACTGCTTAGTTATTCGATACTCCCACCCATATTTTGGTTCCGAGAAATGTTCGTTTTATGCGAAACCAGGGATAGTAATTTTTCCTTTCAGCTATTCAATAATCACAGACAAGAAATGAATTTTTGAATAAAGTAATAATGAAGATATGATAGCAATCTTGTAACTTAGGGACAACATATTTCTTTCCAAGAAATATTCTCTTCCTGGAAAAGCAGCAGCTCCTGTGAATGATCCACCAAAATACATTGAGCCAAATATTCCGTTGTTATTGAAAGCAGAGTAATTGCTCGTGTAAAGAGGCTTTCAAATTTGAATCAAACAATTTCTTCTTTAGTATTTTTCATCTAGCAATTCTTTCGGCTCAAGCAAGACCTGTGTAGGAACTTGTTCGTTTTTCCCTCACTGAACTATTAAAAAAAGAAAATAGAAACTTTACCAATCGTTCATTAGCATCCAGTTTCAAGTATTTCTTGACGAATTCTGAGATCCGCCCAATCTGTTGATCAGGACTCACTGCCCATTTTTTCTTCTTCATGATTGGAGCATTGCCAGTTGCCTTCAGCAATATATCAACTGAAATGAAAGAAAAGACGTTATTCACAAGTTCATTTGCATTTATCCCCATTCCTTGAAGAAAATTACTTTTTGTTTTGTCCTTTGCAACCGTCTGGGGCTCATCTTTCTCAGCTAAGCTGCAATCAGGTGGGATCGAAGTCTCAGCTGCCTCACCCTCAGCCTCTGTGACCGCCTTCTCACTCTCCTCGACAGTCTGATTCGAAGCAGAATCCTCCTCCTCCTTATCTCCCATCACTCGACTCTAAATTCCCGATATTTGATTGATTAAAATTCCATCGATGCTCACGATTTTGGGGAAACCACTCCAAATGTCAAAGTTTGTTTTCGTTTGAGGTTATGGTCGACAATCTGATATTCGTCTCCCTTCAGCTGGCAACAATGGATCCTTGGGAAGAGATGACTTCAAGGCGTTGACGTTGAGTGACTGAAAACCGGAGCAGTGTTGATCGAGTTTTTTTACTGTCATCTCATCCCAAATTGCATTTACTCTCAATTTACAATTTTTGAAAGGTAAATAGTAGAGGGAATGGTCAGGGAAATTCCTGGGATTTTTGTTAACATTGAAGACTTGAAAATAATTAAATATAGTCACGGTTTTTACGTGCACAAGTGCGGCGTCAATTTCGGTGTCTAACCTCACTTGTTACAGGCACATTTCTCATATAATTCATTCGAGGACTGAATGAAAATAATGAGATAATTCAATTTTAGTCGTAGTAGTTTCATGTTTATGGATTGGGGTTGAGTTTTCTTTGTGGTTGGGGACTCTGGGGTTAATCTCGGTGGAGATCATAAAAGTGCATTGTAATGATCTCTGAACATGGCTCGAGAGTTCATCTCAATAATAAACCCCGACAATTCAACACAATTTTCGCTGATTATGGTTTATTCTAAAAACGAGTATGTGTGGAATATCGGTGAAGCTTTTTTTGAAATTGAACAAATTTGCCAATTTTTTCGGCGAATTCTCTTTGTCATTGAAGTCTTTTGTATTAATTTTATATATCATGTCGATGATAAATCCCCAACAATTATTGTCAAGAAATTGTGAAAACAGTGATAGTAAATGTCTGATCATTATCATTCATGGTGTCTAAACAACAAGTGATGTTTCAGTAAAATATTAACACAAGTTTTCAGTTTCAATTTTATTGAAGAACAAAAGTTTATTGTGATGATCTTTGAACATGGGTCCAGACTTCATCTCAATAATAAATCCCAACAATTCATTTCAATTTTTACTGTTTATTGTTTAGTCTGAAAACGTGTAGATGTGGAATATCAGTGAATCTTCTTTTGAATTTGAAAAAATTTGTCAATTTTTTCGGCGAGTTCTCTTTGACGTTAAAGTCTTTTCTATTAATTTAAAAAATCGTCTCAATAATAAATCCCAATAATTCACTCCAATTTTTTTTCATTACTCTTCATTCTGAAGACGAGTGGTTCTAAGAGAAAATATCAGTGAATCTTCTTTTAAAATTGAAAAAATTTTGACATTTTTTCGGCGAATTTTCTTTGTCGTTGAAGTCTTTTGTATTAATTTTATATATCATCACGATGATAAATCCTCAACAATTATTATGCAGAAGTTCTGGCGACAGTGATAGGAAGTATCTGATCATTATCATTCATGGTGTCTAAAAAACAAGCGATTTTTAGTAACATATCAATAGATTTTTGTCGAAGTTTTTTGGAGCAAAATTTTCTTCGTAGTTGAAGTCTTTCAATTTCAATTTTATAAAAAAAAACAATAAACCTATTGTAACGATTTCGGAACTTGGGTACAGACTTCATCTCAATTAATTCCAATTTTTTAACAGGTGCAATTTTTATTGATTATTCTTTACTTTGAAAAGTAGTGGTTATAGGAGAAAATATCATAGAATCGTTTTTTGAAACTGAGAAAGTTTGTCAATTTTTTGCAGCTGAAAAAATTGCCTAGGAGGAAACTTTTTTGATCATTTCCAACTACTCATTAATAAGATAATCCCATAACTTTTTGGGAGTTGTATTTTCATTTCACCGTTTTACTCTGGAAAATTCTGCAGCAAGTGAAAGATGCTCAAAATTAATTTTCCATTTTTTCAGATTAAAATCAAGTCCTCACGATGGCAGAAGCTCCAGCAACAGACTCTGGGAGGATCGTGAAGATGGAGGTGGATTACAGTAGTAATTGTGACACAAAAATTCCAGAGTGCAAGAAATTGGCGCAGCAGGGAAAGATTCACGATGCACTCGACCAGCTTCTTGCACTCGAGAAGCTCACGAGAACGGTGAGTTTTACCCAAGCACTCCAAATACACACATGACCATTTCGAGATCAGTTTTTGATAAAGATCATTTATGTAAAGCCGAATGAAAGCTATAGAAAATATTTCCATTAAAATTCCACTACCCTGGTAAAATAGTCCGATTATTTCCGAGCGGGTGATAAAAAATATTTCGGCGTTAATGATGTTTCTGTCTTTGCCGTTACATTCCGATTGGCTGGTAGGTAGAGTTTGGAGTTTGAGAAAATTATGAGAATTAATGGGAACAAGGGTATGTGGCCATTATCGTCCGATTACTTTGCAAAAAAGTGGTTGATAGATCTCATATTACGCATATAAATATTTAAATGAGCAATAAATATTAAATATTTATATGAGCAATATGGGATTTATCAACCACTTTTTTGGAAAGTGATCGGACGATAACGGCCACATACCCTTGATCCTATTAATTCCCGTAATTTTCTCAAACTCCAAACTCTATCTACCAGCCAATCGGAATTTAACGGGCAAAGACAGAAACATCATTAACACCGATTCATTTTTTATCACCCAGTCGGAAATAATCGGACTGTTTTACCAGGGTATATCTCTTCAATTCTGAGGGATAAAAAAATTACAAATATAGCATTCACTGTACACTGAGAAAGAACCGACAGAGATCTCTTAGTGTTCTTATTAATGAATGAATGAAGAAAAGAATGGAACTAGAATAATAACTGATGATTTTCAGGGGGCAGACATGATTTCTACTTCAAGGGTATTAGTGGCAATCGTGGAGATCTGCTTTGAGGCGAAAAACTGGGCAGCCCTGAACGAACACATTGTTCTTCTCTCGAAAAGACGTTCTCAGCTCAAACAGGCTGTTACGAAAATGGTCCAGGAGTGCTGTACTTATATCGATAAGACACCTGACAGGGAAACAATGATTAAACTTATTGAGACTCTGAGGACTGTTACAGAGGGAAAGGTGAGCCATTCAATAAAAAAAAAAACATTCCAAATGGATTTTCAGATTATGGCATCCCAAAAACTAATGGATTCAGGGAAAAATGTTCAGAGCTTCACAAAAAATTTGAATTTTGAACTACGAAAAAGGGCAACAGGTCAAAATATCACAAACAAAATATAATTGGAAAATTATTACATCATAATAATCCGATAAAAAAATTTTAGTTTGCAATTCTCAATTTCTGTTATTTATTCTATTCATTCAATCAAAAGACAAGGATTGAAATAGAATTTATGGGTATTCTTTCATTGCTCGAAAAAGAAATCTATTTTACAACTTTCCGAAGATATTGAAAAATTTATTTTTTAGTTCCTCCCGTCCACTTTTTTTGCATTTTTGAAATTTTTCCTAGCTAAAATGTTGAAATCCCTTAATACTTGAAGAAAAAAAGTGATTCGAAACTCCCGTCAACAAAAAAGAAAAAAATCCATTTTCTAGCCGATTATCCCTTTCTGATTCTTTTTTCATTTCCTTTTCATAATAATAATTGGAATTCGACTATAGGAATGAGGAGTGCCGATATCCTTTTACCATATGAAGGGAAAAATAGATTTTTTATGGCACACCGTGCAATAAGTCGAGTTTATCGCACGCTGCGCTTCGCTTCAAACTCGACTTCTGCACGATGTGGCATAAAATAGTATAGACCACTCGGGCATAAACTTCGTTTTCAACGAATGTGAATACAGACCTCGCCTTCGGCTCGGCCTGCAAACTTCACATTCGTCGAAAACGAAATTTGTACCCTTGTACTCTAATGTACTATAACATTTTCAAGAATACATGGAACGATTTTTCTAATACTCGAACGGATTTCTAATGACTTTGGTTTTCTTTATTTTTTTTAATAGTTATTTTAGATCGCTTCGTCCCGGTTAGGGTATACTGCGATGATGATCAAGACTGTAAATGGTTAGATCGCATCATTCTACCCGCCCGGGATTTGAACTCGGAATCTTTCGCATTTGTGTTTGTTTTGATCAGAAAGAAAAAACACTTTCTATTTATCTTTAACATAATTCCTCTTCATTTAATGTTGTAACTTGTGAATTAAGGAAAAATATATATAATAAGAATAAGAATTTATAAAATTAAGGCCCGGGTGTACTATCTTTCGAACGTTATCTCGATGTTTTTTTTTCATCTTTCGTCATCTGAAATTATCAATTAAGTCCTGCATCATGCAGAAGTTTTGAAAAATTATGAATGAATAATTTTTAAAAAGTAGAAAAAATTCTTAATTTTTTCAAAAAGCATTTTTAATTTATATTCAAAATAAGTTGAATAACAAGAAATTGAAAAATGTATCTGATTTACGGTGACAAATGACGGCCTGTCACTCAATATCATGCAGGGGGAAGACTGATTTCGTAAATCTTTTCCCACACTGCACAGAGACATTTATTACGGGAAAGGCTCTTTGAAAAAAGTTGTAATATTTTGGAGAATTTTTTAATCACACATTTATTACATAAAAATGGCAGATGGCTACATACCACTGTTTTGAAAATTGAGAAACCTAGCTGTCACTTCCCATGAGTGGGTGTTTTGTTATCCATGATGGAAAATGACAGCTAATAGATAATTTGCCACAGCGAATCAGATACTTGTAATCTCCACTTCTTTCAACTCGTTCTGGACCTCAATTAAAAACGCTCTTCGAAAAAGTTCGGAATTTTTTCTTTTTTTTTTATCATTCTATCATAATTTTTGGGAATTTCTACACGATGTACCACTCAGCTGACAATTTTGGATTATGAAAGATAAAAATCCAGATAACATTCGAAAGATAGTACACCGTGGCCTTAAATTAATCTAATTGTGAAGACGGAAATGGAAATAAAATAAAATGAAATGAAACAGCATAAACGAATCTAGTAACGGGCGCGAAGCGCCCGTTCGCTGGTATCACATGAATGAAAATCACATTAAGAATATCACATAAATAAATGTCGCACAATAAATCATCAATCATCATCAATAAATATCACATGAGTAAATACGATAGATGAAGATCATGAAGAATACAAGAAACTTCTCTCTTTTAGATTTTTCCCAAATTTACAATTCTTTCACACATATTTCAAGGATAATGTATGAGCAATGAATTTTTTTCTACATATTCCCACCATTTTAGATCTACGTGGAAGTGGAGCGAGCCCGTTTGACCCATCGTCTCGCAAAATTGAAGGAGGAAGACGGTGATATCACCGGCGCCAATGCTATCATGCTCGAGCTGCAGGTGGAGACTTACGGTAGCATGGCAAAGAGGGAGAAGGTTTCCCTCATCCTCGAACAAATGCGTCTCTGCATAGCAAAGCAGGATTTCGTTCGTACGCAGATTATCGCTAAAAAAATTAACGTCAAATTCTTTGATGATGAGAATGATGAGGAGACACAAGTACTCAAGCTGAAATACTACGAGTAAGTCTATTGATATTTTAATCACCCCTTTATCCTCTTATTTGTCATTTTCCAATTGACCAATCTGTTAATTTCGATTTGATTTGAGGATATCCAAGTATATTTTACAGTTTGGCACGCACTATAGCCTCAACCAGTTAATAACTAGGCAATTATATTTCAGTAGCGAAGTGGTGAAAGGAGATAAGTCAATTTCGACTATTGACCAGTTTTCAATCAATATCTCGGAATCTAAGGAAGATAGCAAAGTTTTTGTTATAACCTTTTTTGTGGAGCCGATTGAGTGCTACAACAAATGTAATTATGAAAATTTCGCCATCTCTTTTAGATTCTGAAATATTCCTCAAAAACTCAACTGAGAGATAAGTCGACTTATCTCCGTTTACCACTTCACTACTGATTTGTTTATTCGGTCACTTCATCATATTTTGTATTTGTTAAATTCATTTGCCCTTTTTAATACAAGTATTTATTCAAATTTGTTAGCATGTTTTATTCATTTTTTTCCTCATCTGATACGATATGAAAGAATTTATTGAATCCTCTGGGTGAATGGCACCTCTTAAGAACAATCAAAAGAATTATAACAAGTTTACTACATAGAAATACAGAAAATACAACAGAATGTCTGGAAAAAATGATTTATTTTATGTGAACAGCTTGATGATGGAACTTGCAAAACACGAGGGCTGGCACTTGGCTCTCTGTCGTCACAATCGTGCTGTTCTGGAGACTCCGGCAGTTAAAGAAGATGTCAAGAAACGTCACACTGCACTCTCACGTGCTGTTCTCTACCTGGTCCTCGCTCCACACGAGCCTGAGCAGGCTGACATGACACACAGGCTTCTTTCTGATAAACTTCTGGATGAAATCCCAACATACAAGTAAATATCATTCTATTCGATCCAATAGATTTGTCTGGCGAATGCGGTGAATTTTTCTATTGAATTTTTTCATACGTGAAGGAAAGAGGAGGGATTGGATATTCATTCATTACAAGCATTCTACAACAATACTTTTTTTAGTTATTTAACGATTGATCTTTGATGTCGTTTCTAGAGAACTACTCCGGCTTTTCGTGAATCCCGAGCTGATCAAGTGGTCAGGCCTCTGCGAAATTTATGAGAAGGATTTGAGAGCTACAGAAGTCTTCACTGCATCTACGGAAGAGGGGCGCAAACGATGGGATGATCTCAAAAATCGTGTTGTGGAACACGTTAGTATCTCCCATTACTCTTAATCACTATCACGTTTCGTTTATATCCTTCACGAATATTTCATTCAGTCAATTTTGCAGAAACAATTTTGAGAATTCAAAAAAGGATTTTGCTAGTTGAAATAAAAAGATTCGATACGAGGGTCATTTCACAGAAAAACCTTGCGAATTTGCTAGAAAAGAAAACTGGATTCAATAGAAAATATTTTTTATAAAAAAATTCAATAGAATTCGATTTTTTGTACAAATTATTCTATTGAGATATTTTTTCAGCTTCATTTTTTAATGAAAAGAGAAGAAAAATAGAGTGTAAAAAACAGAAAATTCATACCAAGAAATTCCTACAGAAAATGAATGTCTTAGTAAAAAAGTTGCTCAAAAAAATGAAATTCTATAGATTTTTCCTATAAAATATTTTCTATTGGATATTTTATTTTACAAAACAATGAAATCCATGAAAAATTTCCTTCAAAATTCACTAGTATTTCCCATGAATTTTTTCCGTGTTCAAATAATCTATGTGGAACATTTATAATTACTTCCATCTGCATTTTATTCACTAATTAATTAATCACTATTGAATATTTTCAGAATATCCGAATAATGGCAAAGTATTACACGAAAATAACCCTCCAACGAATGTCAGAACTACTAGACCTTGCTGTCGAGGAGACCGAGGCATGCCTATGTAAACTCGTTGAGACTGGTGTTATCAGTGCACGTACAGACAGGCCAGCTGGTGTTGTACGTTTCACTGGTACTCAAGAGCCCGCAGCCCTCTTAGACGCATGGTCAGCCTCGTTATCACAACTAATGGGCCTCGTCAACAACACAACGCACCTCATTCACCAAGAGGAGATGCTAGCTGTTGCTCATTCGTAAAAATAATCCTTAAAGTAATTTCTCAAATTTATTTTTTCTCTCTTTCCATTATTTCTGTGAGCGTAACTCTTTGTATTCTTTATCCAATCATTTTTTTTTCATCGAATGTAAGAGGAATAAATGATTGTTTCCTTTTGGCTGAAAAAAATACCACGAGAACGTTTTTACATTAATACTAGTTATTTAATGATTATTGAGAATAAATGAGGATTAACGTCGATTACAGAAATACAAACTCTACTTTTTATTCCTTCAGATTAATTATATTTCATTGGATGTATATACATACAAAAAGAGAAAAACATCACAATTGATTATTGTAAAAATTATTTTATGCATTACACGAGGTATGTACGTGTCTACTAATCATTAATTATTGATAAGTTTTGATTCAACGTTGATGCGTCGATGAGAGTGTTTATGATAATTAATGAGAGATTATTATAGTACTTGGTAAATTCAATTGTCGAAATTTTTTTTATCAAATTTGCCAAAAAAACAGCTTGTTTCGTTCCGCTTAGCAGTAATACTGACCAATTGTTCCGTATTTTCTCATCACGATATTTGTCTTTTTCAAAAAAACAATTCTTATCAATTCCATTTTTAGACCTCATGATTTCAAGTACATCTCACTTGAGGCATCGTTAGAATTATTTTAAGGCATGAATGCAGTCTTAATTCTTGAGACCGTATCAGTAGAAAAATATTTTTTTCAATTCACAAAATGAGTCGATTACTCTAGATTCTGTTTTTTTTTTATACAAGAAAACTGAAGTCAACTTGGTGTACATTTTAGATTCTCGAAGCAGTGGGGGAGAACGGGGGTCCCCCAGCTGAATTATACAGACCCTCTCACATTTCACGAGTCAAATAATATTTCTTTGTTGAATTGAATTGACAGTTTTCGATAAAATTTTCATTTTCACCAAAATTTCAAAAACCCGCCCCGTCAATTATAAAATCATTCACTAACAGACCGAAGAGAGTTCATACATCTTCATAAACAAATTAAAATATTAAATTTATGCCCAAAACTTCATGACTCAAACACTCCATTAAACAGTGTCGAGAATGCTGAAAAAACAACGAAAAAAGCCTAATGTAAATGTCCCTATATTGGGATTGCAACGAATACAGATAGTACTTGCATTTGAAAAACCTACGATAATCGAACTAAAGCTAAGAATTACAGCTGCATCACCAGTCACTCCTCCGAAGCATTAAGTACTACTTAAGTCGATAAAAAAAAACAAAGGGAGGAAAATTAAATTTGTTCAATCACGACTTGACCTTGCGAAGGAAATCTTAAAATGCACAATGGCCCTACCGCTTCCTAATTAAGACCATTAAGACCAAAAGAAAAAATTGTTCGTAGTGAGTTGACAATCAGTCGTCATTATTAACCACATTATCCTGATCGAAGTCGTTAATAATAAATAGAAAAAAAAACAGAAGTACTTGGAAGCATTTCAGGGTTTGGCTCGTGTGGTTCCAACTGTTGGGAAACCATCATCCTGTTGGGACTCGCTCGAGGGCTTTGCACCTTGTGAAAAAACGAAAACGAAAGATCAAAGACTGCTTTTGAAAAATTCAACAAAGAGAATGATGTGAATAAACTCAAGTAAGTACAAGTGTAAAATACAAATGTGACGTCTGTTTACCATGAATATCAGTCTGATGGAGTAGAGCAACGGCCTCGGCGTACGTCGGTGGCGGCAGTTCACTGGGTCCTTGACCTTGAGCTATCGAATCGTAAGGGGGAGGCCCAGGAGTACCTGCACCGGAACCATTCACACCTTGAGCTCCTGCTAACTCCTGTAAATGCTGAATTGCAGTTGCCAATGTTTTTTATGTAGTTGAATGTGTTATTTTGAATGAACTAAAATAGTAATTGACATTTGAGCGAGAAATTGTGAAGAACGAGAGATATATGGGTGTGACGTTTTGAGGGACAATGTGAAGCTGATTGGGGAATCCCTCGGAACATTTTCCTTCTGTCGCGAGTTTTATTCATGGGATTTGAAGGGAAATTCTATAGGAAGACGAATTTTACGGAGATTTTTTTGGGTAATATTTTTCAATTTGACATTTCAATTTGAGGAGATATTCTAGACGAGGACAAATGCCTTGCAAATCATCATAAAAAGATTGATAATATTGCGTAGAACCATTTTCAGCAGAAGCATTTACACCCTAAGGTCCTGCTAACTCCTGTAAATACTCAATTGCAATTTTGAGTACTTTAGACCACTGAAAGCGCTATTTCGAACGAAATACAAAGTAATTAAAATTTGAGCAAGAAGTTGTAAAGAGCGAGAGCTACACAGGTTTAAAGTTTAGAAGGAAATTGTGGTGAGGCCTTGATAAAGCCCATTGGGAAATTCCTTTGAACATTGTCCTTCCGTCGAGAGTTTTTTTCATCTGATTTTTATTTGAAGGAAGATTCTATATGGAGACGCATTTTATGGGGATTATTTCGGGTAATATTTTTTAATCTACTGGGTTTAGAGAAGGGTTCAAGTTATTTGAGTTTGATGAGAAATTCTAGGCAAAGATAAATGCCTTGCAAATCATCGTAAAGGGATTGTGTCGAGACCCTTTCTTCATCTTTTATCTATCTTAGGGCAGTTGCAAATATTACGGAAGTATATTGCGCTGCATCGGAATCATTTACACAGAGAGAAATGACAAAGTTCTGAAACAAGTCTTACTTGTGCCAAGAAAATAGTTTTTTGAAAATGATCAAAAAAGAATTTTTTTTTGAGTCAAACATGCAAGAGTGCGCGGGATGAAAATTTTTTGTCGCAAAAATAGATTTCGTAATTGAAAAAAAATTGCATTCTCTGTACACGCAAGAAATGTCATTTCTAACACTATTCCTTCGTTATTCGATACTCCCATACGTATTTTGCTCCCGAAAAATCTTTGTTTTATGCGAAACAAAGGATAGTAGTTTTTCGTTTCGGCTGTCTAATAATCACAGACAACAAATGAACCCTTAAATGAAACAATAATAATGATATGATAGCAATCTTGTAATTTAGGGATAAAATATTTGTTGATAAATTTCCCTCTATATGAGATATTTTCATCCTGAAAAGGCACCGTCTGGTGTGAATTATCCTCCTCTTGAGCCAAATATTTCGTTGCTGTCGAAAACAGAACAATTATTCACGTCTGAGACTTTCAAATTCGAACCAAACAAATTATTTTTTGGCAATTTTCAACTAGCGATTTTGTTGGCCCAAACAAGACTTGTTTGACAACATGTTTGTTTTTCTCTCAGTGTGGAAAAAATTTACCCCAGGGGTAAATTTACTCTGATTTATTTGGCTAATAGGAGTGAGAGAAATTTTCTTCACTTCACATTATATTGTACAAAATAAAGTGATGAAAAAGTCATACAGCGGAAAAATAACAGCAAATAACAAGAATCACGCGGAGGTCGTAAGTACCTAAAGTAGAACAATAGAGAAATGAGTAGCCTGTCTGCTGAATTGAGAGAAGAGCATCAAGACCTCGAGAAATACAATTGACAAAGTTTTCTGAAAATTCCCCCGCGTCAAGGGTGATCACTCTAATGAGTTTACTTTGGCGCGAAATTCCAGGCGGAAAAGAATGTCTTCTAAAAAATCATAAATTATTGTTTCAGCCGTTTTTTATCTTCTTCCTGTTCGGTCAGTAAAAATAGTACGGGTACAAAAGTTTAAAAAAATAAAACTTCACGAAGTATTGAGTCACGACATATTGCTTCGAATGCGCAAATTCCTCTTCAGGTCGATAAATTTATTCAGTGGAAAACATTGAAGGAAAAATCACAAATCAGCTGTTCCTTATAAATCATTACGGAAGATAACTCTGACCTTACTTCAAGACTTTTGTTTTGTGGTCCATGAAATCATCTTGACGTATAGTCTTCTGTCGAATTGTTCTGAACCTCTAGACTAGATAAACAAACTATTTCTTACAAAATTAATCTACGTATCGAGCTGTAATTGATACAGACCAGGAGAAATATGTCAACCTCTCTATAGCAGGTGTAAAGAGAAATGTTGGGCGACCTTGACAGCATTAATTCATGAATTCCTAGGAAAATTCTCCTTTCATCGAGTTCTACTCAACCTATTCGTTCGATTAAAAAAAATTACATAGAAAGGCAAATCCATATTGAGTATTTCACTAAATATCGTTGAACTTCCTCGGTTTAGAGATAAATGTCAGGAAATTTTTCATAAACTATTAAATATTTTGACGATGACTTTCAGGGGGAAATATCACTAGATGTTATTTGCAGGTCGAAAAATTTCGAACAAAACGTATTTTTCAACGTTTTCCCTCGATTCTTGCGGTCCCAAAATTGATGAATTAACAACAATTTTCAATTAATTTATTCGATTAAGGCCCGGGTGTACTATCTTTCCAACGTTATCTCAATGTTTTCTTTTCATCTTTCGTTAATTGTCAATTAATGCGGAAGTTTTGAAAAATTATGAATGAATAATCAAAAAAACGTAGAAAAAATTCTTAATTTTTTCAAAGAGCATTTTTAATTTATATTCAGAATAAGTTGAATAACAAGAAATTGAAAAATGTATCTGATTTACGGTGACAAATTGGCCTGTCACCCAATATCATGCAGGGGAAGACTGATTTCGTAAATCTTTTCCCACACTGCACAGAGACATTTATTACGGAAAAGGCTCTTTGAAAAAATTTGTAATATTTTTGAGAATTTTTTAATCACACTTTTATCACATAAAAATGGCAGATGACTACATACCACTGTTTTGGAAATTGAGATAGCAAGCTGTCACTTCCCATGAAGCGTTAGTGTTTTGTTATCTACCATGGAAAATGACAGCTAATAGATAATTTGCTACAGTGAATCAGATATTTGTAATGTCCACTTTTTTCAACTCATTCTGTATCTCAATTAAAAACGCTCTTTGAAAAATTTCAGAATTTTTTCTTTTTTTTTTCATCATTCTATCATAATTTTTGGGAATTTCTACATGATGTACCACTCAATTGACAATTTTGGATTACGAAAGATAAAAAAATCCAGATAACATTCGAAAGATAGTACACCCGGGCCTTAACTTGAAAAAAGAATCCATATTGAATATTTCACGACACATTCTTGAATCAACTAGGTTTAAATGAATGTCAGGGAAGCATTCTTGAATTTGTCGTTAGAATTATTTAACTGTAATAGTTCCAACTACGCTAACATTTAGGAAAAAATTTCACGAGACTTTTTTGCTCAGCTTAAGGAATTTTAAACAAGAAATGTGTTCCAGTCGTTCCCCTGAATTTCTATTTCCAAAATTATTGATTAATTAATAAGAATCTTGCAAATGACTTATTCGATGAATGTGGAAAAATTATGAAAATACAAATATTATGTAATAATACTAATCCTAAATAATAAAGTTTAAGAAAAAAATCACAATTATTGCAGAATACCAGCAATCTTGCACTAATTAATGACCGAATCCGCCTACAATCCGTCCCTCCAAAAATCTCCTTCAAATCACGGAAGTAATGTTCCCCCAAACCGAGCAAAAAACCCCTCTTCAAATTTTTCGGAGCAGAACAAAGCATTGAGCCTGGAAGGTCACTGACAATCGAGTGTTCATCTTCCCTTTGCAAATACTAAGTACGAATACTAATATTAAATAATAAGGTTGATGAAAAATATCGCGGGACATTTCGTTAATTTATCGTTAGAAGTATTCAATTCCAATGGCTCTAAAGTTCTGATGTATGATCCTTTTACTTGACTCCTATTATTAAGTCATATCCGACACTCGTAACTCTTCTGATTTTTGTATTTGAATCTTCGGAAAGACATGTGTTTGTAAAAATTCAAAATTAATGAATGTTTTATCAAGAAGATTAATCAAAAAAAATGAATGATGACCTTCAAGTAAAAATGTCACAAGTTTTTTTGTAGCTTAATAAACTTCAAGCGAAAAATGTCTTCAGGCAATTTCCCCTGAATCCCTCAGCTCCAAGATGATTGAATAATTAACAACAATTCAGTAATAGACCTTTTCATTCTGCAAATCTATGGGAAATATTTATTCCGTTCATCGAATTGGAAAATGTTCGGAGAAATGATTAAAAACTCTGATAAATATTGACATTTAAGATAATATCGATTTGAGCACTCGAAAATTATGATTGATGCGTAAATTTCGTCAAAGTGCCCGAAAATCTAGTGACTCTCAGGATGAAAAGGTCTATCGACTAATTTTAAACATTAATTAGGAACAACTAATGAATATTTCAAATAAGTCAATTAACTATGAAAATGTGAAGACTTTTTGCAGCTCAAGAAATTCCGAACAAAAAATGTATTTCCCCAATAATTTCACAATACCAGCAATTTTGCACTAATTAATGACCGAACCCGCCTAAAATCCGTCCCTCCAAAAATCTCCTTCAAATCACGAAAGTAATGTTCCCCCAAACCGAGCAAAAAACCTCTCTTCAAATTTTTCGGAGCAGAACAAAGCATTGAGCCTGGAAGGTCACCGACAAGCGAGTGTTCTCCACCCCGCCAGGCCCAACTGTTCCCACTCACTCACCACAATAGAAACATAAATATTCAATGAATTACCCTGAACAGCTGACGCTGATGGACAAGCATCTGAATAACCGACTTCCTCCTGAGATACAGAATGCATTTGGCCCCGACCATGAGCCCTGAGCAAATGAAAATCGGTCCAACAAGCCACATGTGCCCAAGATTACTGAACACTTGTCCATTGGCAGCATCACCAAGTGCCAGTATGGTAATAGCAGTGCCAATGATAAACAGCACAACACTCAACGCTAGATAGCTATAGCTTGTGCAGTCACATCTCCCAAATGTCGTCGGTTCCTCGTAACGTTCCTCGATCTGTCGCAGTCTATTCGACAGAAATGGACTCTCGAAAACAGTGGCCATATTCCCGGCCCTCGAGCCATACGAAACACATAACCCAGTGGTAAAAGCTATTCCAGCGAGAATTACGTGCTCATTCAGACATTTGCAAGCGCACGCTTATCAGCTTAATTGTTTTATCTTCCTCAAGTGTTGAAGTTTCCCCCTTTTGTCAGTCTCTCTCTCTTTTTTACACTTGCCACTCGTCAGCTGTTCACCAACGGGAATTATCCACTCCTTATCCACACGTTTTCGTGATTTTTTGACTCTAAAATTCTCATATCACCGCTCCAACTCCAAAATTTCACTGTTTTGTGGCACTCGATTGCGATTAATCCGGTTAAATTGGGTGGATTATTCGTGGGATTGGGTAGGTACACACGATAACCCATTAAATTGTCGCGAAATCCCCCCCTGTTTTGAACGACTGTCTACGTGCGGAATAAGCCAGACAGCATCCGACAACTTTTGCCCGCTTTTGCCGAGGTTTTTTGTCTCATTTGGCTGATCGGTTACCCCCACCCTTCGGCGGAGTGGCGACTCCCAGAGACGGAGGTTACGTCGATTCATGGCTCAGTTCAGAGTGATGGCGGTGTTGTTTACATGAGAATTCGCGTGGAATGCGATGATCCGGAGGAGGGCCTTGAAGAGGTGATAGCGGCTCTCCCATTGTCAGTCGGGGAAAGAGAAAAAAAAGGTTTGATTTTCAGCGACATGTCACTAATTTTCAGGAGTTGTCACTAGATTTCAGGAATTTATCAGCAGTTATTAGGAATTCGCGATTGTGGACACACACGAAAAAAATTAATACAGGGAGAGAAATATTCAAGAAACATTACGGAACATTTCACGTAATCCGCAAGCGAGAATCGTTTTCAGTGAATTTCTATAGGAATATAAGAGAATAAATCTGAAACGTTCAGTAAATTTTCGGGTCTGTCACCGAAAAAATACGAAAAAGTCACGTAATTTTTCTGGAAGTTGTAAAATCTAACAGAAACTTCAAGACTTATTATGCCTCAGAACATGAAAATTCTTGGATGTTTAAGAATTTTTACGAAAAGTTCCGGAAAAATTACGGAACGTGTTGTTAAAATCTGCCCCTCACGGTGACTCATTGCTAGCCGTGAACAGATCGTAGAATTTACGTGACGATTGACACTTTTTATTGAATTTTACTTCGCTCCCAGATTACGTTTCGAAACGTAATTTTTACGTCTTTTTTCTGGTAATTTTTATTGAATATTTCTCTCCGTGTAGAAAAACCGAGCGAATTCGGTAGAAAATTCTGTGGGATTTTTATTGAACTTTCTATTAGTTTTTGGCGAATTTTATTGACATGTTCAGTAGAAAATATTCAATAGAAAAAGTCAATAGAATTCGATTTTTCTATATAATTTATTCTCTTCAAATATTTTTGATACACTGAGAGAAAAACGACGAAGTTCTCAAATAGGTCTTACTTGTGCCAAGAAAATAGTTTTTTGAAAATTATAAAAAAAGGATTTTTTGTGCCAAACATGCAGAGGGTGCGCCGGAATGAAAAATTTTTGTCGCAAAAATAGATTTAGTGGTTGAAAAAAAATTGCATTCTTTGTACAGTAGACTCCCGTTAGAGTCACACTCGTTATAGTCGCATTTCCCCTACGATTTTTCGGCTCGCGAGCGCTCCCCCCACTCCATTACCTGCGAAAACCTTTAAATGAATGCTCCTGTTTTTCCTGGAGGAGTCATTGTTTTTGAATTCTCGGAAATTCGCAAAATAAAATACTGAAAATATGAATTTACGATGGGTAGACATTTAGTGTGCTCCTGATCGTCACGGAGAGAGGTTACACTTTTATTGTGGTGAAATAAGTTAAAATTGGATTAGTTAGTTGATCGAGTGAAAATTTACATGAATTGAAAAATGGATCCACATGACAATAATTAATTATTAATAATAACTAATTAATTTTTATTTTCATTGCTCATTATAATATCATAATTGTTACGATAATTATTATTATATTTTCATTTTTTCATCAATAAAATAAAAAGAAAAATTCAGTATTTTTATTTTATCAATGTCGAATCTGAGAAATGACGCCTGGAGTAAGCGCGTGGAGGTGGAAGGCGAATACAGTCGCATTTCCCGAATTCACTTCCCCAACAGCCCCTTGAGTGTGACTAATGGGAGTCTACTGTATTCAATCGATACCTCAGTTTGTAAGGACTTCGTGTCCACAATCTTATTCTGAATAAATCTAAATTTTCTTCACAATGTCCGTAAACGGCGTTTGACGGACACGAAGGGTCCAGTAGAATTTCCCAAACTGCAGTCTAATATTATTGATAATAATTAATTTAGGATTACCAAAATAACACGCAGAGTCTTATGCGAAAATGAACTTTTCAAGGATAGGGAGAAAATTAAAATCTGGAAAAAATCTCGCAGAATCGGAAAAAATAAAAACGAGAGACTACAGTTCAAACAAATACTATACTGTTGTGTAAAATTTCACTTTACGCACAAGTGATGAAATATAAAATTTATTTATCGGCTTTTTATTTTTTTTCCAGTTTTTAAAATATTTTTCAACAGTCAAAATGGAGAATCAAATTAAGGTCTTCACCCTTTGAACAATAACATGATTTTGTTCAATGTAATGAGACGCGCAAGAAAAAACAAACACGAATTTCAGAATCCCTTTGGGGTTCCCAAAGATTCAACGAAAAATTACGTCTGAGCAAAATTGAATTATTTCCTTTCCGACACAATTACTGAATTCAGATTGAATTGATGATGTTCGCGGAGAGGTATGAACTCATCAACCGACAATTTTTAATATTCCTGTTTATTTCAACAATATTTTTTTTAAAATAATAAGTGTTGGATGAATATTTCACAAATTCTTCATATTATTCTTCTATCAACTCAGTTCGTTTGGAAATTCACAAGAGATTCAACCATTGAAATGAGAGAAATCACACATGAATCATGCCATGACTCATTATATGATTCATTATGAATTTTCTTTTACAAGTCACTAATCGGAATTATGAATTGGAGAAGAGCTTAGATAACGAAGTGATGAAAGACCACGAGAGAAAAATTTATCTGCCAATTACATTGTGAAGAATTTGACTTGAGGGAATTCTTCATGAGCCACACTAGATTTTTTTTCGTCAAGAGGTAATATTTTTGTGATATCTGCCTGAAAAATGCACTTTTCGAAACGGTTTAGTGTGCGCAAAGTGGTTGTTTCCCACATGATGTGTGTAAAAACAATAACCACATTACCCCCACTACCGTTTCGAACCGTAAACTCGGCAACTACCACAAAAAATAGGATGTGTTACACGTGCGTGTGAAAAAGTGGAACTTTACGCACTTGTAACACAATATACATCACAGCCACAATGGCGAAGAGAATTTTTCTGGTGAATGTGGTTCTCCACGTATATTCACCGGAATAGTAGATTGTGCACCAAGGGTGGAATGGTATATATTGTGCATCAGGGCGGAAAGTCTTGGTATGTGCACGAGCTGCACATGCCTTCTTTAACACGCCTGCAAAGGAAAGTTCGAATTTTGCTTTGTGATGAGCGGGAGGAAAGTCTTGACGGAAAGTCTTGACTTTTCGCCCAAGGGAGTAACTTTCCATCCTCGGGTGGAAACTTACTGCCTTACTTTACTCCCGCCGGAGGAAAGCGGAAGAAAAGTCTTTACTTTTCGTCCAAGGGAGTAACTTTCCACCTGAGGGTGGAAAGTACTCACTTTCCTCCCACTCATCAAGGAACAAAATACGAACTTTCCTTTGCAGGCGTGTTAAAAAATCGCTTGTGCACCTCGGCCGGAAAGTCTTGACTTTCCGCCCTTGGTGCACAATATACTATTGTATAATAAAATCCGCCAAGGGCGGAAAGTCATGTTTTTTCTGCCCGAGGTGCACATGCTATTTTTTAACTCGCCTGCAAAGAAAAGTTTGTATTCTGTTCTTTGATGAGCGGGAGCAAAGTGAGTACTTTCCACCCGAGGGCGAACTTTCCGTGCAGGTGAAAATATACTATTGTATTTTGCTTTCTGATGAGCGAGAGGAAGTGAATACTTCCCGCTCAAGGCTGGAAAGTTGTTCCCGAGGGAGGAACGTACTCACTTATCAAGGAGCTTATCAGGGAGCAAAATACAAACTTTTCTTTACAGGCGAGTTAAAATAGTATATTGTGCATCAAGGGCGGAAAGCCATGTTTTCCCGCCCGAGGTGGACATGCTATTTTTTAACACGCCTACAAAGGAAAGTTCGTATTTTGCTCTTTGATGAGCGGGAGGAAAGTGAGTACTTCCCGTCCAAGGATGGAAAGTCTTGACTTTCCACCCGAGGGAGTAACTTTCCACCCGAGGGCCGGAAGTACTCACTTTCCTCCCGCTCATCAGGGAGGAAAGTACGAACTTTCCGTGCAGGTGTGTGAAAAAATAGCATGTGCACCTCGGGCAGGAAAAACATGACTTTCCGCCCTTGGTGCACAATACACTATTTTAACACGCCTGCAGAGGAGAGTTCGCATTTTGCAGGCATTTTACAAAATCGCATGTGTACCTCGTGCGGGAAAACATGACTTTCCGCCCTTCATGCACAATATACTATAGTACCACCCTGCAGCGGAAAGTATTTACTTTCCGCCCGCTCATCAGAAAGCAAAATACAAACATTCCTTCGCAGGCGTGTTAAAACATACTATTTCTCGTAAATTTCTGTTTTTTGCACTTTTAGATTAATTGTTATCAATAATATGAGACTGTTGATTGAGCACAACAGCTTTCCTTTCGCATTTGTTTCAGAGTTTAATTTTCGAAAGTCAAGGCACATTTATCCCACTTTGTGGAACGCTACTCCATTGTTATTATTTAAACGAATACTGCGTATTTACATGCGATATATGTGCACATTCATGCATTTATATCTGCCGTAGAGACTGGCATTGGTCGGTTTCGACAGCCTCGGTCTGCCATTGGCCACTCAGAAGTATCTCGAATTGTTCATTGGCCATCAGCCCCCGTTCTGTTGAGTATCGGCTGTGGATAAGGACCGCTTGAGAGTGCTCAGCTGATGACGAGCACGGAGATGTCCACAGCAATGGCGTTTCTGATGATGGCTCTTGTCCCGAGATGATTGAAGTTACATCGTAAAACTTCATATTTCGTGCTTCGGAATTCTACTTAATTAATTTCTCGTTATCTTGATAAATGTGAGGTGCAAAGTGGTGAAAATGTGGAGGAAATACTTGAACATTTGTACAACTCTTTTGTGTGTTTTACAAGGTGACAGATAGTGCATGACGTTGTAAAAAATAATCAAAGTGCTTTGAAGAATTTCATGATTTCTCATTGATTTTTCAGTCCAGGGTTTTAGCGGATACGTTACGTTGATCGATGATGGACCCACTGTGCAGGGTGGGTCCATAACTTTTCGAGCTGATTTGTATAATTACGATGGCTCCAGACCCTCCGGGGAATTTTCATACACGTGGACAGACAATGGGGTCCCTGGACACAGATATGAGGTATCAAATGTGCTGTTATCATTTTGGTGCGAGTGATAAATGAATTATTCATGCATTGATCTGAAATTTTTTAGTCCCCCAAAACACAAAATACAACCAGTATTTGGAAGGTCGATTATCCAGCTCAATTCTATCCTGTTGGGGAGTACTCAGTCCAGGTGATTGTGAGTCAGTGGCACCTTATCTTCTGGAGGGATGAGGATAGTCAACACAAGAGATTCGAGATAACTGGTGAGCCTTCATGCAATGTAACAGATTGAAGAATGGGTGGGGAAATGCGATACATGAGTTTCGCGTATGAAAAGATTTAATGAAAACACCTTGCGTTTTATCTGAGAAATTCCATTCCTTTCCTTCCCTTTTAGAAAACTATTGGAACTCTGTTGGAGTAATTAAAAAGTTCTTGAAATTCTATTTGAGTTTTGGTAAAATTATATAAAATAATTCTATTGTTTTCTGTGCTACTTCTGTTGAAGATTACATAACTTTACTGCGTAATTTTTTTAATAGAATTCTGATAGAACTGCAACACCATTTTTACAGAGTCTTACAGGAATTTGATGAAGGTTTCTATTGAATATTTTAATTTCTGTTGCTCTGACTTCACTTCTCCCAGTTTAAATTATCCCAGAATAATGCTATTATTTTTGTGTCAATTCTATTGAACATTATACAACTTTACTGCGTCAGTTTCTTGTAAATATTTGACAGGCATTTGGTTTTCATATAAAAATTTCTCTGTATAAATTTCTCAAAATCTTGTTGCATTTTCAAGAAAAAGAAACTCAGAAATTCCAACTCCAAGGATTTTCATGCAAAGAAAACCCAACAGATTAAGTGATATGGAAAAATCGACAATTATTACAGAGTTCTTACAAGAATTTGATAGAGATTTTTGTTGAATATTTTAATATCTGTTGCTTCGACTTCGGTTATCCCAATTTCAGTTATCCCAGAATAATGCTATTGTCTTTGTGTCAATCTTATTGAATATTATACAACTTTACTGCGTCAATTTCTTATAGATATTTGGTAGAAATTTGGTTGTCAAAAAAAAAAGAAAATTCAAGTACAAGAATTCTTACAAAAAAATCCCAACACATTAAGTGATCTGGGAAAATCAACACCCATAGATTTTTTCTGTAAGAAAATGTCTATTGTAAAAGGCAGGAAAAGTTGCGTCATTTTCAATCGAATCAGCACCAAAAATTCAATTTTTTTTAGAAGAATTCAGATAGAATTCCATACAATTCCTACAGGGATTTGATAAAGGTTATTTTATTAAATGTTTCAAAATCTATTGCACCGACTTCAGTTCATTTTGAGATTTGACATTTTTCTCCCAAACCACTTATTGCCGAGATAAATGATTACTTAACAAAATCGTTACAAAAATATGAAGGATTGAGGTTCACAAACTTTCCCCTTTACCCCATAGTCCCCCAAGGTTTCTAAAAGTCCAAATAATCCTTCTCACTTATTCATAAAAAAGAAATACGAAATAAAATTTAATTTCTTACAAAATATAATTTAAATGGTGCTGATAATCCATGAATTTTTCAAAAATAATTTTTTCTCCGGCAATTGAATCGTTAAATTTGATGGTCTGCAAATCTATTTTTACAAGAAATTTCATTTAAGGCCCGGGTGTACTATCTTTCGAATGTTATCTCGATGTTTTTTTTCATCTTTCGTAATCTGAAATTGTCAATTAAGTCCTGCGTCATGCAGAAGTTTTGAAAAATGATGAATGAATAATCAAAAAAAGTTCAGAATTTTTTCTATTTTTTTTTATCATTCTGTCATAATTTTTAGGAATTTCTACATGATGTACCACTCAATTGACAATTTTGGATTACGAAAGATAAAAAAAATCCAGATAACATTCGAAAGATAGTACACCCGGGCCTTAAAAAAACTTCTTCGTAGAAAACCTTTGGATATTTTCCGCCAAAAGCACTTTTCTCGAAAAAAATGCATGCTTAACAAAATGATTATGTTTGTCCTATTTATGATTTACTTTCATGCATTTTTTAATTGATCTTCATTTTTATTCTAGCCCTCCTGAACGGCAATATCTCGATATCCCAATCAAATCACACATTAGAGAGTTCCTACATCTCCTCGGCAGTAGAATCTGAAATAAAGATTGACTTGCGAGAGGGCGATGCGAATTACATAATCAAAAATGCAACGGAGATATCGACATTTTGGTTCGTTGATTGTCAATACTACGGACAGACGAATGACTTCACATTTCGATACAATTTCACCCACCCCGATGAAACAAAATCCATCGAGGCTCTAGTGGTGGCCTCCCACGAGCCCCCCACGACCACCACAGTTGCACCCACCACAACGTCCACCACTCCAGCTCCAGCAACGAACGTTACGACGACTAAACCGGCTACTACGACCACATCAACGCCAAAGACAACATTGCAGCCTTCGGTGCAGAATAATTCGTCTACGGACATGGGGAAGAACATGTCCCTGCCTTATGTTTGTGTGAATACTTCTGTTGTACCTCCTGATCCTAAGAAAACATACGGCTATTTTCATAAGGATGTTTATGTCAGAGGTAAGCTAATGGAATTTTAGAGGTAAAAAATTGAGGGAAGATTTAAGAAGAATTTACTATTCGATTTTGATTATTCTGTATTAATTGCATGATTTAGAACATTCGAGTGTTTTCTAAAGAGATTTTCAAATTATTTTAAAAATAGTAATGATTAAATGATTAATGATTTTCTTATTTATTTTTAAATCATTTTAAAAAACAGTAGAATGTTTTCTCCTTTAGGAGAAAATTTGTGTAGTTATGGAATGGACAAAGAGAATAGAATGAAAGTCAGTAGAAAAATTACCGAAAAGACATGTCTAAATCCGATTTTTATGTTATTGAGTCAATAATATATTCTATTTAGAGGCTTTAAATTAATTCTTCACTGGCAATTTTATAGACAACAAAACATGTTTTTCACCTTTTTTTTCAATCTGGCAGATCTTAAGATAAGTTAAAAGATCAACGAATTCATGTCCTAATCTCTCCATTAATTCTCTTCCTAAAGAACTCAGTAGCGAAGTGGTAAAACGGTTTAAAGTGAAACGGAACTCTTGCGTCTATATGAATTTTTAGAATTGTGTTTTGCTTCCGAAGGGAAGCATTATTTTTGGTCGATTTTTCGATTTTCTAATTTTTTTCCTGCAATTATTATTTCATATTTATGAAACTACTTCATTGACTCAACAATGCAATGATCGAGTCGATAAAGTAGTTTCATAGATAAAAATTAATAATTGAAGGAGAAAACGTTTCCCCTTAAGTCGACTTATCTCCCAGTGGAATTTTTGAGGAATATTTCCCAATCTAAGGGAAATAGCGAAATTTTCGTAATAACATTTGTTGTAGCTCTCAATTCGCTCTACAAAGAAGATTATAACAAAAATTTTGCTGTCTCCCTTAGATTCCGAGATGTTCATTGAAAACTGGCCAATAGTCAAAATTGACATAAACCAGTTTTACTATTTCGCTGTTGAATTAATCTTATTAATTGGCAAGATGGTAATACCTCTGGAAATTTTTGTCTGAAATGCATTCTTCTCAACTCTTGCGTTAATATATTCCCAAACTGTATAACTCTGTTTGGTTTGTCGAACTAAAAAATCATAATCGTGGGTTTCAATCATCGCCAATGAACAAGTAATTAAGAACCAATTATTATTATTCCTTGCAGCGCCGATAAAAAATATCACAGTGGAAGGAACAAACTGGATAAAACCCTGGGAGATGCTCAACCTAAGTGTGAGTTGCCACGGCTCTGGACCATTTCTCAAATGCCTGGAAGTCCATCCAGGGACTTACAATGTTACAGGGAATGAGACCTGCGACGACGGAGTATTACTCACCACGTGCAACTTCTCGATCATCCACTTCTTCCTGGAGGCTAATGTTTACACTATATTAGTGATACTTAAGAACAACGTCAGCACGACGGTTTACCCTTTAACAATCAATATTTACGAAGGTAAACAGAGAAAAAATCAGTGTTCCCACCATCAATTTTATCAAATATTCAAATTGAGGGCCATCAAACATCATTAGAGTCTCCAATTTATTGAGAATATTATTCAAATAATTTCCACGTTCGGGAGAATTCAATAGAAAGAGTTAACGCATTTGTTAACGTTTTCGTTACAAAATTCAATTTTTAATTCTAGTAGTTTTTCGTCAATTCTAGTGGAAAAATCAACAGAAACCGTTTTATACAAAAATGAATAATAAGTTCTTTTCACTCCATTCTTCCCTCTCGTTGAAACAATCAAACACAATATTCTATATTGAACACTTCTGTTGTACAAAACACGCTGAAAAGCAGCGTAATTTTCCGATAGAATTGTCGAAAAACTAATAAAGTTTCCGATAAAAGTCCAATAGAATTTTCTAGCGAATATGCTGCATTGTTTGAAGAAATGGCATTTCATTGATAATCAAATGAAATTCTAAATTTTCAAGCAGCAAAAGACGAGAACTCCCCAACTTACTTGAATATTCAGTACTATATAATACTAAATTTTCAAATGATTCAAATTTCAAGGATATATTTACTTTATTTACTTGAATTTCCCTTATTTTCATTGATTTTTTCATCAAATAGTAAATTATCAATGACGAAATTCTTTGAAATTTTCGTGAAATCCTCACTTGATAAAAATTTTTTTTAAAAATAGCGGGAATTTGAGCCAACAATTCCCGACAGATGCTGTAGATGCTTCTATAAAATTTTTTCATTCCTGTATTTATTCATATTCATCAGTCAATATTTTTAATTAAATCCCCAGTGACTGCGAAGCCCCAGCTCTCAGTCATCGTAGTCCCCGTCTCCTGTTCCCTGGCAGCAGTAGTCCTCATCGTCTTCGGCATAGCTTACTACATCCAGAGTCGTGCGAGGTTCACAGTCGAAGTCGCAGACTTCGACTTTGGCCAGAACAACCCAGACATGGAGTACAAGACCTTCAGGGAGCGCCTCCGGGACTCATTCAATAGCACTGTAAGCGATGTCCGAGGGATTTACACACGACCACCTAATTACGGAAGCATGAATCGATGCACTATCAACTCCACTGTAATTAACAACAGACAGTCGCAGAAGTCTATGTAGATGCATCTAATTCACTCGCTCATTTGTGTTGTCCGGTGATTGTGCTTCTTAATTTTTGATTTAAGTTGTAAAACGTAATGTATGAAATATCTCATATTTATTTTGAGATGGGAGAGTGGAGCAAAATGAAACCGCCGAAAAACGACTATCTGACGCAATTCAAGCAAAAAAAAAATTTTTTTATCAACTTTTGTTTATTAACTCTTTTTATTATTGGGAACACTGATGAGAATAATAATTTTCTATTCGGTAGAAAAGAACATGCGGTGAGAAAAAATCACTGATATTCGCAACCCCTAAATAGCGTATCGACTGCTTCCACAGGTGAATCCCATTCCCGAGTTGACAATATTAGTAATTTTCACTAATTTTATCCACAGTTCTCTTAGTTCTTAAGTTATAGGAAATATTTCATCTATAATTCGATTGATTAGATTAGGGCGATTACACTTTTCTTTTTTCATTCGATTAAAATTCAGCATCACGTTTTCTTTTTTCCCCTCTGGGTCTCCCCCTGGGCCTACCTCTGGACTTTGGATTTTGATGGCTCATTTTCTTTTGAATTAATCCATTAACAAAATCTTCTCCCGTCAAAACTTCTCAATAATTTTGCCTTCTACTGAAAGGAAGATTATGATTCTCATCAGTACTCCCAATAAAAAAAATAAATACAAGTTAATGAAAAAAAATTCTTATTAGAAAAATGTGTTTTGCTTGAATTACCTCAAACAGTCGTTTTTGGACTGTTTCATTTTACCCCACTCTACCCTAAATAATTCATAATTTCGATAATAAATCATCTCAGAGCAATGTCAAGAATTCTCTTTTATAGTTGAGAATTTTTTGGCTGTAAAAGAGAGTTCTAGTAACATTCAATTCGTAATATTTTCATTGTTGGGATAGCTTCATCTTCACATTTTGATACTTTCATGTCGATTCCATTATCAATAACTCACTTTATACAGAATTCATTTGTGGTTCTTGAATGATTGATTATCTCGATGATGAATGACTTTAAAATAATGCCGAGAAGTTTGATGTGTAGCTGAGAAAATTTTCACTCTAAAGAAGAATCCTGTTGATATCTGAAGTTACAACACGTGATGCCTAAAATGTCGCACATTCCTTTCTACAAATAATTGATCATTTTCTGAGACTTGTTTTCCACGATGAAAACAGTTCGTGTGACATTCAATTCCAAAATCCTTTATATTCGAGATAATTTCATGATTGAAAGGGTAAGATAATAGTGTTTCATTCCAACATTTCAATGCACATTTCATTATTGACATCTCACCATTTCATTATTAATAACTCTCACAAGCTGCAGCAATTATCGTCAAAGAAATAGTGGAACGAAATAAGTAAATTCCACTGAGACTTCAGAATAGACGAATTTATGTGAAGATCTCTCGACCCAACACTGAGAGAAAAACAAACAAGTCTTGTTTAAGCCAACAAAATCGCTAGTTCAAAATTACAAAAAAAAATTGTTTGATGCGTTTTTGGAAGTTTCAAACGTGAAAATTGCTCTGCTTTCGCCAACAACGAAATATTTGGCTCAAAAGGATAAAAATGTCTCATATAGAGAGAAGATTATCAAGAAATATTTTGCCCTATATTTAAAAATATTTTTTTTTTAACAATTTTTTTGGCACAAGTAAGACTTGTTTCAGAACATTGTCGTTTTTCTCTCAGAGAAGAATGAAAAAAAACAAAAAATCAAAAAATTACAAAAAATTTGCTGTCTCCCTTCAATTCATAGATATTTATCTAAAACTCATCTCGTTCTCCTACTTCATTACTAATTACGTCAGTCTTGAAAAATGATTTATTTTGCTTTTCAGGGATATAAGCCTCTAACAGACCCCACAGCCCCCCAAACCTGAACCCTATCAACGAAATAAACGCACGAAAGAAAAGGAAACCCCGCAGGAAGGCGTACAGAAAATTATTTATAGGTATTAAACTAAGATAAGTCACTTATAGAGCAAGTCTTCATTCCAGGAGTTATGAAATTATAATTATTGTATATAATACGATAATCAGGCTGTGAAACCAAGGAAACGCATTCAAGAGTACAGAATAACTTCACATTTAGTTTAACATTCATCGAGACGATTCACAAGATTTACTCGAAATTGTTAGTCAAATATTCAGAGTATGTTTCCCAGTATTTTATGAATGTTTTATTTTATACACATTATATTTTTTAATTAATTTTCCCCAGAAGGAATCCATAAATATAAATTTTCATAGTTCAGATCAGAAATAAATTGAGAGTATATTTAATTGTCAACTCACGTTTAATTTAATTGTATAGTCTACGATCATAAATCATGTTATTGCTTAACTGTGTAACTATTGAAATAATGAATTACAACGTCTATTTGCAGAATTTTGTGTAAATAAAGTCAATAAATGATTGTAAATAGGAGTATTCAATGTACTTCAGTTTTGACAATTTTCACCAGAGCAATAAATCATGAATTTCAAATGCATTTGGTTTTTATTTCGAAAAGTTTTGAGGTAGACGAGTGGATTATTCGGTATTCAAACGAATGAGGAATTCTGGTCTAAATATTACTAAGCCGTAATATTACGGTAAAAAATATTACGCAAAAATATTACGGGACAAAATATTACGCAGAAAATTATTACGGGATAAAAATTATTGAACCGTAATATTACCGTACATAAAGGTACACCATCAAGGACAAACCTTTATCCGCTCGATTAGGAATTCCCCGAAAATCAAATCGATACAATAATAGCCCAACACCAAAAAATATGACCCGAGGTCAGTTACCATCGATTCACTCCATGAGTGAACGTTGATTTTGTAAATACTAACGATTCTGATGCCAATGAAACACTCGGAGGCCTCAGAAATACCGAAATAAACAATTTTTCATCACGCTGTGCGAAAAAGTAACGTTTCAAAACGTCCCTTTTCCACACATTGTGATGAAAAATATCGTTCGATACTATTAAAATTCAGTAGCGAAGCGGTAAACCGGGTTAAGTCGATTTGGACTATTGGCCAATTTTTGACGAATATCTGGGAATCTAAAAGAGATAGAAAATTTTTTGTCGTGACCTTTTTTGTAGAGCCAAGTGAGGGTTATAAAAAAGGTAATGAGCAAAATTTTGCTATCTCTCTTAGATTCCGAGATATTTGTCAAAAAATGGCCAAAAGTCAAAATCGACTTGACCCGGTTTACCGCTTCGCTACTGAATTGTTTAAGAAAAATAGTTTTAAATACGGGGCAAAATATCGATATATTATTTTATCACCTGGGACCAAAGTGTCATATCTTGGATTTTTCCAGAGGAAAAGTCGACTTTCGGTAAAATCTGATTTTTTCGCCAAGTGAATGGTGATTCTTAATAAGTACGCCGTTAGTTTTTAAAAATTACTAATTAAATATGTAATCCTTAAACACTGAAAAATGCATTACATTCATCTGCTAACGAATTACAAGTGTTTTACCATCATCATTTGTTTATAAATAATAGTTTCCGGCTGACAACCTATTGCTCTAGTTCAATTAAGTTTGTAATTTCGTTTGAAATGAGAATAATCCCGGCACCTCTCAACGTGCCGCTGCACTAGAAAATTCGATTGGTAAGACTTTTTCAGAGGACATCTGCAATATCGAGTCCCTTTTAATCACCTCATCCGGCCTGTCTACCCGGTGCTCACACACAAAGAGGATAGACCTGAGTAGAGGCCCGGATCGGGGGGTTTGACTGACTCCAAAAAAGTTAGTTGGTACCCCTCTTTGCTCACACAGTTTCAAAATATTCGATCCATTGAGACAAACTCGACCGATATTGCAGGGGGCAATGTTCAACATGGCGACAATTGGTGGGCTGAATTGTTGTGAGGCAGCATGTTATTGCGATCGCGAAAAATTTCGAATAATTCCCGAGTGAATAATCGATCAATAATCATTGGAAATGAGAAGTAAACGTCGAGGCGTGACTAATGACGTACCACATCCACACTGATGTGACGTAATTACACTGTGGTGGTGCCGGGGGGTTGATAAAATTATTAGTGAAAAATTTTCCAATTCTCACCTCGTTCATATCATTTTTAAAATGTCACTCATGGTGACAATGAAGACGAAGAAAAATGATGACAGTGATGAGGGAATTGGGGACAGTGAGGAGACGAGTGACATCGAAAAATATGACAGTGAGGATTGGAAAATGCCAATTGCGTTCAATAAACCGAGGCACATTGTCAGCATCGAGGGTGTCAATTGCATCACACAGTCCTGGCGGATGAAGGAGCGAGTGAGTTGTCGAGATTTTTCAGTCTCTTGATTTTTTATTACGGATGATTCAGTTTTTTTCTCGCTGTAACAATGGGTCTGGCTCCTTGAGTGATTTCACCCCCCTATTTACAGATGAAAACTGTCAGCGTTGCCCTGGTACTGTGCCTCAACGTCGGTGTGGACCCCCCAGATATTGTGAAGACACAGCCTTGTGCGAGACTCGAGTGCTGGATTGGTAATTCCATGGCTTTTTTATGAGTCATTGGTCCCACTTGCTCAGCATGCTGCATCATTCCTTGGGATTATGTAACGTGCATGATGATTTGAGGTTAAAGACGGTGGGAGGGATGGAGGTGCTCTGTTGATAAACCAATTTTTCATGAAAATTTTGAAAGATTTGAGAGAAAATTGCTAAGGATGGAATTTTAGGGGTATTCAAATATTTTGGCTGTTTTTTCTCCAGTGAAATGCTTTTCTACTTTTGACTAGAACATCAGAGCTTTGATTTAAGCCCCATTTGACCCTAAGTTTAAACTTTGCAGGTCTGCATTTGAATCTCGATATTGAACCGTTAGAAAACATTTTAAAAATCTGAAAAACTAGTGGAAAATTGCTCTTGTATTGTATATAGTATAGCTATTTTTGCTAATAAATTAGCAATGTGTTTTCAAATGGTTACTTTGCACATAATTTCCGTCTATCATGTATAATTCATTGTTTATTTCGTTTTATTAAATTGAATAAGATTTCTTTTTACCTAATTTTATCAAGTTCAAGTTCCACTGAAATTTCAGGAAATCTTGTCATTGAAAAACCAAATATTCCATTGATTTCCTGTTCGAATAATGTGAAAATCAATAAAATAGTTGATTTTTCCGTTCAATTATTCTGTAAACGAGTGGGAAATTGCTCTCGTAGAGTATAAGTATAGTTAGTTTTGGTAATAAATTAGCAATATGCTTGCGAATGGTTATTTTGCACATCATTTCCGTCTATCATTTCTAATTCATTGTTTGTTTCGTTTTATTAAATTGAATAACATTTCCTTTTATCTAATTTTAACGTGTTCAAGTTCCACTGGCATTTCTGGAAATCCTGTCATTGAAAAACCAAATATTCCATTGATTTTCTGTTCGAATAATGTGAAAATCAATAAAATAATTGATTTTTCCGTTGAAGAGAAACACGATTATTTTGGGAAAATTCAGGGAAAAATTAAAAATTCATGTAATTTTGTTCCTGAATATTCATGTTCCACTAAAAATTTAATCAAGTTGTGAAACTCTCACCTGACTCCCACTGAAAACTCATGAATTTCCGTGAATTCTACTTAAAACATCAAATTTAATACCAATTTTTTCCCTAACCCGATTCAATGTAACTCTTATGAGATTTCCTATAATATCTTCGAAGAAATTTCAAAAAATTTCTAACAATGCAGCAATCACTCATCTCCATCATATTACCAATTCCCCAGAAACAATAATGCCATCCCTCCACTTTTCCAATGACTAAACTGATAATAATCAGAGCACCAGCACTTACCTATCTCATATGAGCTAAAAAAGTCTCAAAAAATTATACAAAATAACTTCTAACCCGTCCTCCAATGTCAAAAATTTCAGATCCCCTGTCAGTGAGTCCCCAGAAAGCGCTCGAGACAATCGGCTCGAACCTCCAAAAGCAGTACGAGCGTTGGCAGCCCCGAGCGCGTTACAAACAGAGCCTAGACCCCACAGTGGAGGAAGTGAAGAAGCTCTGCACCTCGCTCCGGAGGAACGCCAAGGAGGAGCGAGTCCTCTTCCACTACAACGGCCACGGGGTTCCAAAGCCCACAAGCAACGGCGAGATATGGGTCTTCAACCGGACCTACACCCAGTACATTCCCCTCTCAGTCTACGACCTGCAAACCTGGATGGGTGCCCCAAGCATCTACGTCTACGACTGCTCAAACGCAGGGATAATAGTGGACTCATTCCAGCAGTTTGCAGATCAACACGAGAAAGAATACGAAAACGAGAAGCAGGCGTTGCAGCAGAACCGTGTGGCCGGTGTAGCAGGCCCCTCGATGCCCTCCTACAAGAACTGCATTCAACTAGCAGCTTGCGCAGCCAACCAGATCCTCCCAATGAACCCAGACTTGCCAGCGGATATTTTCACCTCTTGCCTCACGACACCCATTAAAATCGCCTTAAGATGGTTCGTGATGCAGAACACCTCAAAACTAGTCCCAAAAATAAACCTCGATCTGATCGACAAGATCCCAGGCCAATTGACAGATCGCAGAACAATGCTCGGCGAACTCAACTGGATATTCACAGCAATAACCGACACAATCGCCTGGAACACCCTCCCCAGAGATCTATTCCAACGGCTATTCAGGCAGGATCTCCTGGTAGCCAGCCTCTTCCGGAATTTCCTCCTGGCTGAGAGGATCCTGAGGTCCTACGACTGCACCCCAGTGTCCTGTCCAAAGCTCCCAGCGACCTATCAACACCCAATGTGGCAAGCCTGGGACCTGGCCCTGGACCTCTGTCTAGCTCAATTACCAGCGATCCTCGAGTCTGAAGATCAATTCGTACATTCCCCGTTCTTCGAGGAGCAACTGACAGCCTTTCAAGTCTGGCTGACACTGGGCTCGAAGAACAGAAATCCCCCGGAACAACTGCCAATCGTCCTGCAAGTATTACTGAGTCAAGTGCACAGGCTGAGAGCTCTCGAGCTCCTGGGGAAGTTCCTGGACTTGGGGCCCTGGGCTGTGAATCTAGCTTTGAGTGTTGGAATATTTCCCTATGTGTTGAAGCTGCTGCAGAGCAATGCCAGGGAGTTGAGGCCACTTTTGGTGTTCATTTGGGCCAAGATATTGGCTGTTGACAGCACTTGCCAGCTGGACTTGGTGAGGGACAATGGGCACAAGTATTTTTTGTCCGTTCTTCAAGATGTTACCATGGCTAGTGAGCACAGGACACTTGCTGCTTTTGTTCTAGCCAGTATGGTGCACAATTATTCTCTGGGGCAGGAAGCTGCTCTGCAGGGGAGTTTAGTGTCGATTTGTCTGGAACAGTTGGGGGACAGCAATCACTTGCTGAGACAGTGGTTGTGTATCTGCTTAGGTAGGCTGTGGCATAATTATGATAAGGCTAGGTGGTGTGGGGTCAGGGATATTGCTCATGAAAAATTGGGGAGTTTGTTGCGTGATCCTGTGCCGGAAGTTAGGGCTGCTAGTGTTTATGCACTTGGTACTTTCATCAATAGTGTTACTAAGCGAAGTGAACATGCTAATAACATCGATCAGATGATTGCTATGACACTTATAAACACGGTTACGCATGATATGTCGCCATTGGTGAGGAAGGAATTGGTTGTGGCACTACAGTGGATGGTTTTGCACTTTGAAAATTCATTTGTCACACTGGCTATTGCTGAGGAGAACTCGAGGAGGGATCTGGTCGTTGAGACCTTCTCACCGTTCAGCGGCATGAGGCGGATTGGATCCAGGGACAGGCTCAAGGTTATGCCTAATAATACGTATATTGGGGATAATGAACTGGGACAAGACAGGATCAAGAGGGTTTCTTCGTCTTCCTCGATCAGCAGCTTGGGTGAGATTTTGAGATGTATTCTTTTTATTGCCTGACTTGCTGTCAGCGGGGCGCTGGTCAAGTATTACGTCACACGTTTTGTGGATTTTTTAGATCCCCGAACGCCACGCAATCGTGAGTTGTCAGAAATATGGACCTCCCTTTTGTATATCACGGCGAAGTGGTAAAACGGTGCAAGTCAATTTTGACTATCGACCAGTTTTCAATGATTATTTTTCTCACTCGGATTTCAGCCAATCAGAGCGCGGTATTTGAGGCTACCCGACAGTTTTATTTCGGGTATTTCTTTCTAGCTTTTGAATTTTTCGCAGTAGTGCTTCATTTTTTTACCTGAATACTTCGTAGTAGCTCTTCATTTTTTCGGCTCATTTCAGATAGAAACTTATATTTGACAGTTTATGGAAATCGGGTTATTCTATTAACATAATTTGATCAAATCTTCCCCAATTCATCTGCTGATGTTGTCCACTGCACTCTGCTTGGCCAAAATCCGATTGGGAAAAATAATCCGACAAATACCCCTCGAGATTCAAAATTAATCGGGTATTTCCCTCAAGCTCCCCTGCAAACAAACTATCCTGCCAAGTTTTGCAGAAAAATCCCTCGCGCAAGCGCTCCCGAATTTTTAATCAGCAAAACTTGACACCCTCATTTGTTTGCAACGAAGCTATCCGGAAATATCCAATAATTTTGAAGCTCTTGGGGAATTACTACTGAATATCTCGGAATCTAAGGAAGTTAGCAAAATTGTTGTTATAACCTTTTTTGTAGAGCCGATTGAGTGCTACAATAAGTGTAATCACGAAAATTTCACTATCTCCCTTAGATTCGGAAATATTCCTCGAAAACTCAACTGGGAGATAAGTCGACTTAAAGTACTCTACCCTTACGGTAAATTCCAAGATTATGGAAAACTGCAAAACATTGCAGAAAACTCGATTAGATTCGGAATTCAAATTTTTTTCTCAATTTAATTATCGTTTTGGTTTTTCAAAGAAGAAATGTCTAAAAATCAGGATTTAACCCAGTGTCTTATGTGAAAATCAACATTTCCATTGTAATCGAAGATTAAAATCTGAATTTTTTTTCATTAGATGTGAAAAAATCAAGAATGTTTTTGACACCTCATAAAAAATAATCCACCATTTTGGAAACAAGTTTTATTATTTATTTATAAGAGGAAAATGTTTGAAAAAATATCAATATATTGCGAAATTTAATTTAGATAATACTGGGTATGAATTTTTTCAAATTTTTTCCATGCAATTTAGTTGAAAAATTTGAAAACTGAAAATATCCAAAAGTACAGCGTAGCCCGGCCGAAGGGTAGAGCTACTTTAAACCCTTTTACCACTTCGCTACTGATATTGTATCACAAAAACCATGAACTCTTCCTTGTGTTAGGACGATTTTCACATTCTCTAATTTTGATTGGAAATTATGTAGAATGATACATAACATAATAATCATCGTCTTGGGTTTCGTATTTGACACGTAAAAATACGAAGTTTGGTGATCATCTCTGTATTTGAGGAGGCCCACCGCCAGCTTCTCGGTGGTAAAGTTCCAAAAAATTGAGTAATTCGAATTTTCATAAAATTGAAGGCAATAATAGCGGTTTGAATCAAATAAAAAATGCTTTCACGAAATTTGCATTTTTTAGAGTTAAATATGACAGAAACTATAGTATATAGGGGAGGATGGGGTAAAATGGACACTTTGGACTTTTTTTTAATTACTCATAACTCAGAAACAAATTTATCAATTGAGCTCAGTTTAGGCTCATTACAAAGGGCCAAAAAAATGTTTGAATTTCATCAACATTTCAAGCTGTCATTAACATTAAAAAAAAAATCAAAAGTGTCCATTTTATCCCAAACTCCCCTACCATAAAATTTTACAAAAAATTCACCATATTCGGAATGTATCAATCTATCGCGGATTCGTTTTTTAATCCCATACGTGAGCGGTTAAACATCGTACGAACCGTTTTCTCATAAAATGGAAAAATCGCGTTCGGGAGGACCTACAATCCTCGTTTAGCATATGCCTCGCGTGCTAGAAGCCCCTATGTTATTATTTATTATCTCCTAAACTGTGTAGTACAGATAGTTAGCTTTTTTCAATAGCTGGGGAATATTATAAACATGATCTATGGAAAACATGGGGGCAATCGCAAGTAAAACCTGTTTTCTGGGGATGTAACTTGAACCTCTGTTGTTTTTTCAAGTCAATGCGTAGCCTAGAGAAAAATTGGCACTTGCCCTTACTTGGATTAAGTGATAAACCCACCAGGATTAGAAGAAGAAAAAGAAACATCTGTTTTTCTCGTGAGAAGACGGAACGAGAATCAGGAATCGGCAAAAATCACGACTTTAGTAATATTAAAAGAAGTTTACATGAAATTAATTGAAATTCACTGATTTCCATTGAAATTTGAAAATAATTTCAACTCTGAATTATTGTTATTAAACAATTAATTCCAAATATCTGAATTTGAATTTTCGATTGATTGAATAATCGTGAATCTTTAGAAGTCAGTTACGATTTATAAAATATTTGAAAATTTGAAAGATTTGATTCAGGATTAATTAAATAAAAATTACGAAATTGGATAATACAGTTGTAACTGATTTTGTATGTGATGGAATAATTTTAATTTCACGTTATGATTTTGTCTCTCCCGATGAAGAATGTAAAAATAATATAGTGTGACGTCACAAACTACAGCCCTCCTCCCCCTCCCCACAATGTGTGACGTAATATTTGAATGCCCCTGCGACATTATCCCCACGAAAAAATATCTGCTCTGAAATCTGAGACATGATCTTCATGGAACTACCCCTCCAAAAATATATTTTCGACAATACATTCGATAGGAATTTACGGATCAGTTGACTGTTGTGCTTATATTTTACACGATAATTGTTGCAATTTTCACTTGTAAACCATTGTCCACTGAGAAAGAAACAACTTTCGTATAGAGAAAATATCTTACACTGAGAAAGAAAAACCTTTGTCGACAGATTTTGTACGTGTCCCAAAGGCAGGGATATAATTTGTTCTTATAACAAAAAATATAACAAGAAAGGGCATTGCTCAAATCAAGTCTAGTTGAATCAATCTATTCAATAATTTTAAAGTCTTGACTACAAAAAATGTTAAGGGGAGACTACTGTGAGTTTTAAAAGTCGTGGGTTATTGGGGTGAGACTTTTCATACGTTGAAGATCGATTATATCGATCTGTGAACAAAGAATTAGTGCTAAAAAAATTTTTTTTTATTGTTCGTTTGCCCGAAAACGCTCAAAATGCCAAAAACAGTCCAGGGCCTCCAATATTTGAGCTACGAATGATTTTTTTTTTCAAAATTTTCGGAAAAATATGTGGAATAACAATTACGAGCTAGTTTTTTTAAATTCACCTTTTACCTGGCTAAATTTGCTTTTTTGTATTTTTTTACACAAATAGTGAATTTTTTTATATGAAAAAAAAACGAAATTAGTTGTGTAGGAGTCGAATTCCAAAAACTGGCTTGTAATTGTTGTTCCACACATTTTTCCCGAAAAGTTAGAAAAAAAAAATTTTTTGTAGCTCAAAAATTGGAGGCCCTGGACTGTTTTTAGCATTTTAAGCGTTTTCGGGCAAACAATAAAAAAATCGTTTTTTGCACTAATTACTCGTTTTGAGATCTATATAATCGATCTTCAACGCAGGAAAAGTCTCACTCCAATAACCCACGACTTTTAAAACTCACAGTAGTCTCCCCTTAATGCAAAAACCAACTTGACTTGATTCGAGAAGTCGTTTCCTTGTGAACAAATGGCAATAATATTTTTCCAACCACACGAGTAAAAAAATCCCTATCGCAGCAGCCCAGGACAAGATTTTTTTGTAGTGATTTTCACGTTTTCCAGTTTGGGAAGTATGCAATACCAATTCTCAGATGAGAAATCGTGAGAAGAAGTACAGAAAATTCCTCATCTTTCGGACAAGTACAAAATCTCTTGACGAAAGATTTCTTTTCTCAATATTCTGTTCTTGTCAATTTTCGAGCCACGAACTTCTCGATATAAGTAAAGACGTACTTCTCAAGAAACTTTTTTTTCCTTGTAGGCCGAAAGTCACATTTTTCTTCCGCGAAGCGAAGGGAAATGTGTATTTTTTGTCCGCTGAACGAAGTATTATCTAACGAATGTGACTTTATAATTCAAGCCGAAGGTGAGGAATATGATCACATTTGTCAGATAATATTTGCATCGCCGTGTAATATACACTATTTTGTCACTAGGCCCGAAAACTGCGATCGAACTAGCCTAGTGTCATAAAATGCTATTTTTTTCTCAGTGTTTTCTTTTTCAACGGACAGATAGTCATCTTCACTAAGGTAAATGTACCTATGCCCGTCTTTGTCCCTACGCTCGTTCAGATCCTGCCAGCTATGACATTTCAATCATTTTGATAGTCCCAAGAGTCTATTAAGAGTGAAGTACGATTGGAGTTATTATTTTAGTCAATAAGAAAAGTTATAGACACCAATGCAGAGTGATTTATTGAATAATAAGAGAGAAAAATCACATTCACATCAACTCGTGCTACGACAGAGTTAATTCTTAAGCCACAAGTTAAGAAACTCACAATTTTAAAACGTTGATATCTCCGTTACAATAGTAAAATGGAATTAAAAATCCCTTGGGTAAGGTTTCGAATAGTTAAAAATTTAATAAAAATGCATAAATTATAGTAATATCCGGATATTTCACTGAAATATTGCCAATTAAAAGAATAGGTACAATGAAAATGGCATTGATCCTACACTCGTTTTGCACCCAACTGTCAACTGGTAACGGACTAAACGGATGAAAAAATCATTTAAAAGGTTGGTCTGTCCAATGGAAATATAATTTTGTGCATCGAGATATTTTTTAATGTTGTTTTATCACAAAATAGGATACTCACCATGTAATTAGTTCGGATATAACCTTTCCATATCACTCAAATCACGAGACGAGGATAGGGACATGTGTCAAACGAGCATGAGGACAAATGAACGAGCGTAGGGACATGGGACTTTTCACATTCATGGACGATTATTTATTAAAAAATAGTAATTATCATAATGAATATAAATAAATTCCAATTCTGAAGGTTTTACCCTCTGATATGTAATTTAAATCATCGCACCTTCACGCTCATTTCGATAGAAATATTGGACTAATGATTTGTTCACCTTAGCTAGACGAGCGTAGGGTCATTTACCTAATGAGAAAATCGTCAGAGGATAAATATGCCATGGAGATTTTGTCGCAGATAGTTTTGAAAAGATATTTTTTTGAGGTTAATGAGTCGGGCCCGCATTCTTTTTGATTCCGGTCCTTCGTCATGAGTATATAATGATTTATTTTATTGCTGCACTCTGGACACCAGGGAATAACTGGGAGTTTGTGAGGAAACCTTGCGAGTTCCTTGGTAATGACGATCCTACAGTTTTTGTGTTTGCTATGTTCTCTTCACTGCTTTCTTTCTCTTTTTTACGATTCTTTCCGTTGGGGCCTTTCGTCTCGTGCATTTGGCGATGCACTGAGGGGGGAATGGGTTAATTACTGGGAGGTCCAGTTGCTGAACACACGGGACCAATTTCAGAATGGGGAAGTGCAGGGTTGTAATTATCTTTTGCGTAATTACGTGAATTTCGGGGGAATTCAGTCAGTTTTTACTGATTCCACTCAATAATTTGGTACGATGAAAATTTCAACTCTTCGGATGATTAAGGATGTTTATTCAAAATTGCAAGTATTAAAAAAATTGATTTTTTTTTTCAACTGAGTGATGAAGTTATTCCCTTTATCTTGATAAAAATTTCAATCCACCAACCCACGTTTATTATTTAGAAATGGAGTGGACAAAATGCACCAGACGCATGCGCTAACATGCGCTTATATGGGATAGAATCTTTCAAATATTTCCTCTTTTTGCGCAGGTACCCCAAATTTTTTTCGGCCCATTCCATTCAGTATAGTTTTGCACATTACTTTCTATTTTTATTTTTATTTTTAGAGTCTTATAGTAGGTGAATTATAAATTTCAACATAAATTCCATAAGAGCTAAAAATTTGTTTATTTATTTCTGGCGAGTCTATTGCGATTAATTTTTTTGTAACAGCAAAGAAGTTAGTTTCATATGTTCTGCTATCAGCCAAAAAAATTGTAGAATTTTCCTTGAACATTTAAAAATTAGATTTGCTGAAAATGGCTAAACATCCTTAATTTCATGGGATTGCAAATAATGTTCAGGGACTGGAATCTTTTTGGGAATGGTATCCCTTAAGGGGTAACAGAATGCTGCTTATTTCCCAAATTTTTAAATAAATTTCCTGCCGAAAGTTATTGACATTTTCACTAATCGAAACACATTAATCTTCAGGAGGCGATGATGAAGATCAACGTGCTCTAAGTTCGAAAAATATTAATCACTTTGCGCAGAAAATTTGTTAGAAAATTTCGACGAAACGGTGAATTTCTGTTGTCCCTTCAACTTCGAATCTTTATTTGTATTATCGCACTGAGAGAAAGAACGACCTAATAGCTCAAAATTAATTTTTCCTGCCAAATACATCTCTCTTGAGGTTGACTGGCTTGGTACAAGAATTATGTGGAATGAGACACACACAGAAAAACCGAAACGTAAATTACGTTTTGATAAACGTAATTTACGCCTTAAAAAAGCGTATTTTACGATCAAATTAAAAACGTAAATTACGTCTAAACAAAGCGTATTTTACGTTTAACAAATCGTAAATTATCATCTTAATAAACGTATGTTATGATTTTTACTGATTTTTACTGATTTTTATGATTCAAATTGACTACTTCTAATAGTAAAAATTTATCGTGGAAACTGATGAAAAAAATTATAATTCTCTTTCTATCAAGTATCGAAATTTCAATTACATTTTTTATACATTTCTGAGGTAACAAGAATTGAATTGTTATTTTTAACATATAATAATATAAAGATTATAAGAGATGACGATGGCTCACATACAATTTTTCATTAGATAGACTACGGATATGAGAAGGATAAAATGATATCAATTTATCTTGTGGGATAAAAAACCATTCGTCTGATCTGGTTCCTTGGTAAGCATGGTAACGGTTACAGAAGTAATTGACATAGAACTTTTTTCCTAAAAAATATAATCGAGTTGAATTGTGGGGATCAATGATTATGAAAGGAAAATCGCAATGGGTGTAACGAAAACAAATGATCCCGTCTTATTTTAATAAATTTCTATGTAATATTGATTTCTTCTCTGAAAACTATCGTGGAATCTTCTCATTTGAAAACGTTCTTATCGTTTCGAGGAAATCAAGCCCATGCAAAGAAAAGAAAATTAATTTTTCCTTTTTACTCTCAATGTGATAATTATCAACTCTGAGATAGTGTCCCGCACCTTTTTATTTGTGAAGGACGTCCTCAATTACGGGAAAGTCCCGCTTATTTTTCCACTCAATATTATTGTTATCATTCAATGATCAGCGCGACAATGTCGGCCGGCTCAAAAGTATTATCGCCGCATGGTTCATTCTTTTTATCAATGGAAATCCTTATCACCAATTACATATTGGCGTCATTGATAAACCAAATCACCTTTTTAATTCAATGATTCTTATCGTACATATGAACCATCAGTCAGAGGATTTATTATTTTTTCTCTGAAAATAGTAATCTTGGAAATCATTTTTATAACCCCTCAAATCGCATTTTTCAATGAGAAATCGTTGATTGAAATACTTTTCAGCACGCTGTGCGTGCTTAAAACGTCCCTTTTCCACACATTGTGATGAAAAATATCGTTCGATACTCATGGGAATTGTGTTTTTTGGCTCGTGGGATTGTATCACTCGCCTTCGGCCCGTACTATAAACCTCCCACGACCCAAAAACACTTTTCGCACTCGTGTAGAAATATACTATTTCATCACGCTGTGCGAAAAAAGTGTTTTTTGGCGAGTGGGAGGTTTTTCACGAGCCGAAGGCGAGTGATATAATCCCACGAGCTGAAAAATATTTTTTCATCACGCTGTGACGAAAAGTGAACTTTTCGGCACGCCCCGCGTGCCTAAAAGTCCAATTTCCGCCACATTGTGATGAAAAATATTGTTCGTAACTCGTGAAAACATGTTTTTTCATCACGCTGTGACGAAAAGTGAACTTTTCGGCACAAAAAAAACTTTAGAAAAACTGATGGGCTTTTTTTTTGTGACTTTTGTGCCTAAAAGTCCAATTTCCGCCACATTGTGATGAAAAATATTGTTCGTAACTCATGAAATAGTATATTTCGTAACGAGCTAAAAAACATTTTTTCACGAGTTACGAACAATATTTTTCATCACAATGTGGCGAAAATTGGACTTTTAGGCACGCGGAGCGTGCCAAAAAGTTCACTTTTCGTCACAGCGTGATGAAAAAATGTTTTTTGACACTCAGTGCGTGAGGCGCTGTTTCACGAACGCTTCGCTTCACTCGCCTTCGGCTCGTTCTGTAACCTCATATTCGCCAGAAAAGTTCTCCACGCCCTAGTATCGAAATGTACTATTTTAGCTCGTGGGATTATATCACTCCCCTTCGGCTCGCGATATAAACCTCCCACTCGCCAAAAAACACTTTTTTGCACTCGTTACAAAATATACTATTTTGTCACTGCTGCTACATTCACCTCGTGCCGAAAAGTGCCTTTTCGTTTACTCGTAAACGAATAGTACATTTCGAGTATAAAATATACTCGATTCAAGTATATTTTATACTCAATTCAGGTATACTTTTTTTCCATGGTGGAAAAAATACTAGAAATTTGGGAGATCGTTTTTGAAGGTGGCCAACCACAATATGATCTAAATTTTGTGGCATTAGTACACTGCGAACGTTTCACCATCTATAAATGACTGAGGAAGCACCTAAACGTTAATAAACCACATAAAAATCAAAATTTTTTATGGAGTAACATGTTTACGACCCATAAAATGAGTTGAGAGGGAAATTCGACCAGTTTAAAAAAAATGTATGTTCCTCATTGAACATGTATAAAAACTACGAATTGTGAAAATGGAGAGATAGTTACTCTTCCGTAAAGCTAAAACGTGGTGTTGATTTCACGTCAGTCTTGCATAGTGCAATGTTCCTGGAAGTCTTTTTTGTAACTTCTTGCGCTTTTAAAATAACGTAATGACGTAATGACCTTATCAAAATTTCTCCAACTCCCCGAAACCCAAAGATGTTCATTAAAAACTCATTTTCAAATTGAGTTGACTCATCTCGTTTAACCACTGATTCACTTGAAAACTGATTCACAAGAGCACCAGCATTTTGAACTGATGATGAAATGTTTCCGAAATAACATTAAGGAGTGAAGATGAGTCAATTTCACTCAGACTTGAGCTTTCCATGAACACTGATAGAATGATTCATTTATTCCAAACGAGATTCGTTAACTATTAACTAATGGTAGAGTTGAATATGACCAAATGAATATTCGTTAACAGTTAACGAATGGTTCACTTGAATGGCGAAAGTCAAGTCAAACAAGGCTCCTCAAATATACATTTGTTAACTATTAACGAATGAACATTTGGTGGGACCGAATAGACCCTAACCTCCAACCAAAATCCATTCGTTAACAATAACTAATCCGTTCTATCAGTGAATAGGTCTGAATTAAGGCAGTTTCTCTATTGCACTCCATTCACTGTTAGAAAATTACTCTTGAAGTTTCAAGTGAATAAGCTTGCAATTTTCAACGACGACAAAGTTACATAAAATTTCTGTATATTTCTTCATTGACCAATCAGTCAATTTCTTGAATATTCAGGCAATTCTCGATTTTCAGGTCCATACGGCACTGAAAAACATTGAAAATTTTGATAATTCAGGCAACAACTTTTCTGAGTTCTCATTCTATTGAAAATTGAATTGTATGTGATGTTTAATTTTCACAACGAGTTTGGAAATTCATGTTTTCATTGAAGAATCAATGATTGTTTAACTTGGAAAACCCAATTTTCTTAAGTTTTCAAGATGAATGTGAAATTTAGTGAATCCTTTCGTTTGAAATGGAATTAAACCTCACAACATCGAAAATGCAGATGATGCTGCGACTGAAATTTCAAGAAATTTCTAACAATGTCTAGCTTTCGGAAATCGGAATTTCCTGTACCATTGTAACCCAGAAAATAACATTTTCGCGGTTTTGCCACCCTTAGCGATTTTCTACTAGACAGAATTTAATATTTACCCTGAAAAATGAAGCAAATCATTACAGTCCAAAGGGAATTTTCTACTCTCCCAGTCAAATAAATCATCGCAATCGTACAATTGCAAACATTGAAAATTGAATAACAAAGTGTCCGAGATCTGTGGAATAGTGGCATTTACTGGGACAACCCCCACCCCAAAATCACCTGTATCCCTATTTTTGCCACTCGATTTGGGAGCAAGCTAACGTTTAGCTGCTAAACTATTAAAATCTTTGACATTATCGAGATACACGGCATCGGCACGGCACGTGCATTATCAAGATGCACGTCCTTGACACTATCGAGATACACGGTAGCGTATCGGCCAAGGACAAGTTTTGACTCTGAATATACAAGACCGGTGGTGTACCTATAGTATATTATTATTAGATTAGATTAGACACTATCCACGAAGCAACTACACTGATTGGGAGCAAAAAAATTTCTAATATCTGAAACACATTTTCTTGAGAGAAGTAAATTATTTTCAATGGCTTAAATCTCAGAATGTGTGCACTTCACGGAACTCGAATAAATTTTCATTCATCACTATCGTTCCGCGTTACGTCATGAATATTTTACATATTGCAATATTGGAAGTGCATAACGAAAAAATCATGAAAACAATAAAGATTAGAAGATTGACGATTCTTCTATTCTTCTATACGGTAGCGTATCGGCCAAGGACAAGTTTTGACTCTGAATATACAAGACCGGTGGTGTACCTATAGTATATTATTATTAGATTAGATCAGATTAGACACTATCCACGAAGCAACTACACTGATTGGGAGCAAAAAAATTTCTAATATCTAAAGCACATTTTCTTGAGAGAAGTAAATTATTTTCAATGGCTTAAATCTCAGAATGTGTGCACTTCACGGAACTCGAATAAATTTTCATTCATCACTATCGTTCCGCGTTACGTCATGAATATTTTACATATTGCAATATTGGAAGTGCATAACGAAAAAATCATGAAAACAATAAAGACTAGAAGATTGACGATTCTTCTACGCGATTTAAGTAAGTTCATTTGTGACAAAATCATACTTGAGTACAAGAATATTTTAAAGCATGAGGCCTTTCTCGGGTCATGTGAGTTGAGATGCCTGAGATAATTAAGCAATTGAAGAGAATTTACTTGTCTCATAAAAATATGTTTCAGATATTAGAAAATTTTTTTCTCAGTGTACCCCCTCCACTACCTGCGAATCATATCCAGAAAATAAAACGCAAACTTGGCAAGCTACATGAAAAATACTCTTAGTTAGCTTCTCATTGATGTAACTATTTTTGTTCGAATCAATATTTAAAAAATTACGCGCATAACAACGGGTTCATGTGCACAATTTTGCAGTTCACGTTATCTGCTATCATTTTTTTGTTATGAAGTTGATAGCAGCGAGATACAACCACACGCACCAAGGAGGGAGCCCGGAAATTTACAAATTGAATTTGGTGCATGAATGATAAATTCCACAGATATCTTTCAATTACGTTCCGTGCACGGAGAGAAGAGCCATGGTAAAGAGTCCCATGTCAAATTTACGACTTGTATGTATTCCTAAAATTTAGGAAGCATTACTATGTCAGGGTAATAATTCCTATGGGGTATGGTATTACATACTATGGGCTATGGTAAGTCTCTCGATGGAAATGAAGCCTATGAACATAGGAGAAATTACTATATTGAATAGTACCCTCTACCCTCTACCATGTTACAGGGTAGAGTGTACTATTAATTATGGTAAAGGGACCCATAGTCGTTTGGTAAAGTTTACCATAGTTTATAGGAGAGATTACCATGCACTATGGTAACATGACCTATATTATATGGTAAAACGTGAAAAAGTCCTAAAATGTCACGAATATAAAAGATAAATAGTAATTCCGAAATAGTACTGATTACCATCCACATGGTAATCTCCCCTATAATAATGGTTGTCGTTGCTATATTGTATAGTAATGCCTACCATGTTCCAATGGTATTGATTACTATACAACATTGTACGCTTTATTGTTGAACATAGTAAAAATTACTATTGAGATTGACTTAGAAACCCTTTTACCATAATTTATGGTAACCTCTACTATATAAAAGTAACCCCTACCATTCACTTTTCTCCGTGTGCGTAAATGAATTCTCGAAAGTTATGGGATTGAAATTCAGTAGAACGTGTCGTTTCGTGAGCGGAAAAAAATAAAAAAGACTTTTCATTCCATTTCGGAGAACAGAAATAAAAGGTCAGGAGAATAACCACGTGGCCGTTTTGAAAAAAACTTGCCAAATCTCCTTAAAAAAAACAAACGAATGTTTTTGTAAAAAAAACTACGCCAAGGAAAAGTTTTGTTTCATTTGAAGTGAGAAATGCTAAATGAATGGCCATAGGGCACAATCAGATGTCTATGAGAAAAATATTTTAAAATCGAATAAGGATTGGAAAAAATCTGTATGAAATAAAGGCTCTGTAGAAGCAGGACCAACGTCCTTGGCGCGGAGTTTTTCACCTCACTGTCGAGTATCTATCTAATCCCCTATGTTCTCATCCGCGGCAAGGACCTTGATCCTGCTTCTACGAATTTTTTATTTCATAGAGTGTTTTTTTTCCATTCTCAGTTCATCGCGAAGTATCAATGTTCAAGTCATGACTATTTCACGGAATTCGTATATGACCTGTCTCACTGTACGAAATGGTTATCCAAAGTCATTGATCCTCCAGAGATGATATATTTGACTGAAGAAATTAATTTTGTCATATGAGATTGTTTTTTAGAAGGAAATTCAAGGGATATTTAAGAAAACAATCAACCATGCCTGTCAATTTGTCATAGAACCAACGTTTCGCTAAATATTTTAGCTTCTTCAGGCTCTTTATATCATTAATGCTTAGCCGGGATATTCTCTAACATTACCATGTTGAAAAGTGCTATTTGCAACTGGACAATACAAAAATGAATAAATAAACGAAGAATATAGAATTCACAACAACTTCTCTTAGTTCCTTCTGATTCAAAGATATCGCTGAAAGACATCCCACAGTCAAGTTGACTGATCTCATTCTGTCGCTTTGCTACTGTATTATAAAATCCCTTCTTCACCCCAGCCCATTCCGTCCCCCTATACCTTCCCTCCCCCCTCAAGACGTCCTCCCCAAAACGTCTTCCACAAAGAAAAATTCCTCGCACCACCCCACCCAAACTCCGAATTGAAAGCACCCACTGAACCCCAAAAATCCCCCGGAAAAATAACAAGGAACTTTCGACATCTCCAGGTCACTCCTCCCTGGGGAATCTTCCGAGTCTCTCCTACGGTTCCGTCTACATGAAGCTCTGGCACGGCTTAGGAAACCTCGACAATGATCCTCACCCAGGTGTCGCCGGTATGTCTCAAAAGGTGACAGGTCACATCCGCAATCAAATAAAAGAATCATCCGCCCCGAAAGAGGTGACAGAAGCCAAATACGCGTCCTCCCTGTCCCTCCCGCCGTCCCCCTCAAACCGAACGAGTTACCTAAATAAAAGTGAGTCCCCACCGACGACAAACTCAGCAGATCTCCTCCGAACAACCCGAATAACTCCCCACAGCAATCGTGGAAGGAAACCAATGCCAAACACGATATCAGAGGAGTCGGACGAAACAGTTGGTACAAAAACACCTCTCATAAGCTCTCAATTTGTCGAGTGGAGTTGTGCTCAATTTGCCCAGCCAGTATCATTCGAAACTGAGAGCGAAGCGACGAGTGATGTTGAGAGCCGTGCACACTATGAGCGTGAATGGCGTTACCTTCGTAACAAAAGGCAGCGAAAAGAAGCCAGGGAGGAGCAGCAAAGAGCTCCCAATTCTCGTATTGAATGCCAAGTGTTTCACACTAGGTGTCCTCAACAGCCAGACGTCGTTGCCTTTCATCCCTTTGACCCCTACTTGGCAGTCGCATCGAAAGACAGTTTTGGAATATGGGACTGGCACAATAGTACTAAACTAACTTATTGCGCAAGTAGAGGCAATCGAACCAGCAGTAAACTCACAGCACTTGAGTTTATTAATGGTCACGATGTGTCTCTGCTGATGGCTGGATCTGATGATGGCTCGGTCAGAGTTTGGAAGAATTACTGTAATGTTTTGGGCAGAGAGCCTACTTTGTTGACAGCCTGGCAGGCACTTGTTGATGTTCAGCCTGCGACCAAAGCATCTTCCACGTCTCCAGGGCTTGTTACCAGTTGGGAGCAGAGATCGTTAACTCTCGCTGTCACTGGGGACGTGAGGATTGTTAGACTGTGGGATGCCGAGACGGAACTCAAGAGGCAGGATATTGCCACGGGGGCAGATTCCTGTGCTACGTGTTTGGATACTGATGGGACTGGGGCTGTGATGGCGGTTGGCTGTGGCGATGGCTCGGTGAGACTGTTTGATCGGAGATTACCCCCCAATGAGGCGAGAGTTATGACCTGGCGGGAGCACAATAACTGGGTTCTTGGGGCCTACCTGTCCAAGGATGGTGGCACTCCTGGGCGGCTCATCACAGGATCCGTCAGTGGGGATGTTAGGATTTTTGATCTCAGGAAGAATTCCTCGGTTAATGTTATTCAGACGCATACACAGCTCACCGCCTTCTCCGTTCATCCGGCTGCTAATATCTTCGCTTGGTGAGTTGGTTTATCGCTTTTTTATGGGGTACAAGGGAGTTCTAGCTAGGGATGGGCGATGTTTTAACAAACATCGATTATCGAAGAATTGATTTTTTTCAAAAATATTGATGTTGTGAATCGATTTTTCAGGAAAAAACACCAATTATATAAAAAATCGATGGTTTTCTCATTACACAGGAAAAAAAAATTGCTAAAAATATTTTTTTCCTCTCGTTTTTATTGAAAAATATATATTTTAAAAATATAATCCGAGGAACTTACGTTTCAATGATAAGGACTGCTGGAGAGTTGAATTTTGAATCTAGAAACAGGATTTTTGATCAATTTAAAAAAATATATTGAATATTTTCCGTTAGCTGAAATAATTCTTGAAAATTTAAATTAAAAAAAAAAATAATTAAAATAAAAAAACAATAGATGAATGGACTTGCTCACTTATCATTTATAACATGCATACTGTAAAAAATAATTACTTCTGATTGCGGATAAATTATCATTTTGTTTATTCTCACTCTATCAACATTATTATTCGACAAAAAAATGAAAAATTTTGTTAGCTGGGTTACAAATATCGATGTTTGGAAAAAAAAATCGAAAATCGATTAATCGGCCGTTGAAAACATCGAATGAAAAACGTCGATGTTTTCGATTAATCGACAAATATCGCAAATCCCTAGTTCTAGCGGGCATGGGGAAAAGTTTTTCATGAAAATTATTATGAAGGGGTGGGTGAAATGATCGAAAAAAATGGATGATTGTGCGAAAGGATGGGATTGAAAATTGGGCAGGTCGCTGGATCCTTGATACAACCGTAATTTTACGTGGATATCGGCATAACCGTAAATTTTAAATGAATTTTACTTTTGAGTAAGTCAATTGTTAATAGTACTCATCAATTTTTTAATTGTTAAATTAATAGTCAATTGAATAGCCCAAATTTCGAATTATTTTAGACTCAATCCTCCGAAGCCAATAATTGCGTTCGGAGGATTGACGATTATTTGGCTAATCGAAAATCACTTTTATGAAATTTAGAATTATTTGCTCAATGGGAAATTGACAATTCCATAGGTCCTATAGGTCAATTATTTAATTCATAGTCAATTATGGTACAGACCACATTATAGATTCAACCATTTTCAATCATCAAATCTGTCATTTAAATGGCGTGTGAATATGCAGCCTAATTAAAATGACATTTTACACAGAATTATTATTTTTTTAACATTCGTTGTTTATAAATAAATAATTGAAATTGTTTAAACTTTCGGAAATTCAATTTTTTTAGGCATGAAATCGAGTTTTGGTAAAATTCTGAATATGAATAAATTTTTTACGATCCCAAACAGGTGATTTTTATTGTGGAAAATTGATTGATTATAAATTATTTGTAGAAAATGCTCGGAATTTTCCATAATTGCCATTTTTCAATTATTTCATTAATCTTCCTTGAAAAGTAAGCTTACCAATTTTTCTCAACTTTTTAAAATGTTTTCTAACGGTTCAGTACCGAGATTTCGAATTCAGTCGCTAATTTTCCAAATTTTTGAACAAATTTCCTGCTGAAAGTTATCGATATTTCTACAAATTAAAGCACATTAATCTCCAGGAAGCGATGATAAAGATCAATGTGCTTTGGGTTAAAAAAATATTGATAACTTTGAGCAGGAAATTTGTTGAAAATTTCGAGGAAACGGTGGCCTTCTGTTACCCCTTAAATAATAAAATCGTTGTAAATCGTTCGGAAACTTGGGATCAAACGAGGCACAAATGAAAGCTCTAATGTTCGATTACAAGAGTAGAAAAGCATTTCACTGGAGGAAAAATAGCCAAAGTACTTGGATATGCTTAAAATGTGCGGAATGTCATTAATATTACCGGAGTATACATAACTCCATATCGACACAGCGGGTCCTTTCTATGGGGCCGGCCACGTACACATACCTGTACTTTTCTACTTTCTAGTCACTTTTATGGGATAATTGAACTGAAATTTATCGTTGCCAGTGATTTTTTCATCAAATTGTGGATTTTTAATCCTGAAATTCTCTGAAATTTTAGTAAAACTCTCACTTGATAAAATTTTCCAAAAAATGTACCGGAAATGTTCGTGAATTTTCAATCGAAACATGAATATTCAGGACCAAATTACACTGAATTTTCGATTAATTGAACTTTCATGAATATATTACCTGCATTTTCCTGCTTTCCATCGATTTTTTCATCAAAATGTTAGTTTTCAATGACGAAATTTTTTGAAATTTCAGTACAACTGTCTTTTGATAAACATTTCCAAGAAACTTCCCTGCAAATCAAACCTGAAAGATCGCAATATTTTTTATATTATTTGAAATTAAGACGGTGTTCCGGAATAAAAGAGGAAAATCTATCTTCTGCCCTCCATTTTCTTCTCATTTTCAAAATCCAGCTATATTTTCTATATTTCAGAAATAAGTTTGCTAAATTTGTTACATTTCAGAACTTTCACTGAAATGAAGTCGATATTCCGGAATAAAAGAGAAAAATCTATCTTCTGCCCTCCATTTTCTTCTTATTTTCAAAATTCAGCTATATTTTCTATATTTCAGAAATTTTACTGGAATGAAGTCGATATTCCGAAATGAAAGAGGAAAATCTGTCTTCTGCCCTCCATTTTCTTCTTATTTTCAAAATCCAGCTGTATTTTCTATATTTCAGAAAGTTTATTGAAATGAAGTCGATATTCCGGAATAAAAGAGAAAAATCTGTCTTCTGTCTTCCATTTTCTTATTTTCAAAATCCAGCTATATTTTCTATATTTCAGAAATAATTTTGCTAAATTTGTTATATTTCAGAAATTTTATTGAAATGAAGTCGATATTCCGGAATAAAAGAGAAAAATCTATTTTCTGCCCACTATTTTCTTCTCATTTTCAAATTAAAAACCGCTCTAAACGTTATATTTTTCTGCGCGTTTACCCTCTGCGTTACAGTAATTTATCCTACAGTTTGTTCTCCGCGTAGTTTGTAATTATATTGCGTAATGGGAACTATTGATTTGACTCCCAGTTAATTTTTTTTTTCGTTGAATTTACTCAAGTGGAGACATGCGGTGGACGTTATCAACCGCTTGATATGTTTAGTATCGGTTACAACTTGTTGACTAGACAAGTTATGTCATCAGGAAATAAGAGTGGTTCAATAAATACATTTCGACATGCTTTTACATCACTAGGGAAGTGGTAAAACAAGCTGTGTTAACTTAACCTTGAGGCGAGTTTTCAGGGGATGTTCCGGGATTTACAGGAAATATCGAGAGTTCATTGTTCGACAGGAATTCTTATGAAAAAAGGCCCTTGAACCTTTGCTTCTCGTTTCTTTTTTCGGTTTTAGGACACAATGTCAGAAGATCCTTTGTGTAGCTGGAGAAATCTCCAGTAATAGATGATTTTATGACATTGCTTCTGAGACGAATGGACAAACGACGGAATAGGGAACTTGCATGATTCTTTTTCATTTTTCAATCTCCAGTTTCGGTCTTAAGGCCCGGGTGCACTATCTTTCGAACGTTATCTCGATGTTTTTTTTCATCTTTCGTAATCTGAAATTGCCAATTGAGTCCTGCATCATGCAGAAGTTTTGAAAAATTATGAATGAATAATCAAAAAAAAGTAGAAGAAATTCTTAATTTTTTCAAAGAGCATTTTTCATTTATATTCAGAATAAGTTGAATAACAAGAAATTGAAAAATGTATCTGATTTACGGTGACAAATGGCGGCCTGTCACCCAATATCATGCAGGGGGAAGACTGATTTCGTAAATCTTTTCCCACACTGCACAGAGACATTTATTACGGGAAAGGCTCATTGAAAAAAGTTGTAATATTTTGGAGAATTTTTTAATCACACTTTTATCACATAAAAATGGCAGATGACTACATACCACTGTTTTGAAAATTGAGATACCTAGCTGTCACTTCCCATGAGGAGTTATTGTTTTGTTATCCACCATGGAAAATGACAGCTAATAGATAATTTGCCACAGCGAATCAGATATTTGTAATTTCCACTTTTTTCAACTCATTTCGAATCTCAATTAAAAACAACTCTTTGAAAGATTTCAGAATTTTTTCTATTTTTTTTTATCTTTCTATCATAATTTTTGGGAATTTCTACATGATGTACCACTCAATTGACAATTTTGGATTACGAAAGATAAAAAAAATCCAGATAACATTTCAGACAAACAAAATTGGAAACCGGAATACTGTAGCTGCAATTAGATACTGGTTTCAGGGACAGCCAAATATGTGATATTTTATTACGGTTAGTTTTGTAGCCCTTAATTAGACACCATCACTCTTGAAATTTTTTGAGTAGGGTAAACAGATCAATTTCTGGACGGGGGTTAGTTTCTGGACGATTTCAACTTGCATTGAATATTATTACATTATATTAATCCGATAAAATTTTTGGTTTCCGATTTTTATTCTTTGCAATTTTTTTATGTATTCTGTCAAAATGTGAGGGTAGAAATTGAATTGATGGATATTCTTCCATTATTTGAAAAAATATATCAATTTTAAAACTTTCCGGAGACATTGAAAAATCGAAATTTTTATTTTCTTGCTGGTCACGTATCTCGGTTTTTTTTCACTTTCTTCCATTGAAATAAGATCATAGAAAAGGAACATATTGATATTTTTTCGTCATTTAAAAAAAAAATCAGTTTTGAAATTTTTCAGAAAAACAAAAAATCGTTTTCTTTTATTTTCTTGCTGATCATCTCTCCCTGCATTTTTCTCATTTCCTCTCAATGAAATCACATCATGAAAATGAAATTTTTCGTTTTCATGATCTGATTTCATTGAGAGGAATTATTATATTATGATGTTACTGATGTTATTGAACATAAATATCTCTTCATTTGAAAATGAGAAAAACTGTTGCCACAATTGGTATCCTACAATGGGAATAGAATCCAATAAATTTAAATTAATCTAACCACAAAGAAAAATTGGAAAGAAAACAGTCAAATAAATCAGTATAATATAATATAATGTAGCGACGGGCGCGAAGCGCCCGTTCCCTAGTTCCATAAATAAAATGAAAATTGTATTCATTATTTCACCTCTCCATAATATCACTTCTGTATAATCATGTGATCAATAATTTTCTTCTATTGATCAACATTTAATAAATAAATAAAAAATATGACTCAGTCGTCCAGAAATTGGGGGTTTCGGCTACATTCAACTATTTCTCAATTTAATTATTCTTTGTTTTGTTATTTTCATTTTAAACTATTTTTTTCTGCTAATTAAAACATTCTTGAAGCCATCATATCCCCATTTAGGTGATTCTTTTATTTTAGATCCTACCGCGAAACTCGAATTTCCTTTAACCGTTCAGCAATTGGCCTGATCACCCTACTTAAGTATCATCAATTCAAATATTCAGATTTTCAACTATTTTATCAATCAATAATTTCAAGTAGGAAGATTGACGATTACTTGTGTAATCAAAAATTTCAAGAAATTTGAATTATAGTTTCATATTAACAAATTTTAAATATATCATTATTCGTAAAAAATCATATTATTAATATTATATTATTTGAAAAATTGAATTAACATATTTTAAACCTTCAATAATGTGAGGGTCCAATCCTTGTAATATTACAGAAATTTAATATTGATGGGGATCCTGGACTGATTTCATAATTTTCCATTCATTAGAAATAAATTATTATTATAAATAATTAGAAATTATTATTATTGAATTCGAGTCGTATTGAGCACACACTACACTTGGTAACAGAAGGACCCCGTCCGTGACAGCAAGCGTTTTAGACTCGAAATTCTTCGCTCTTATTTAATGTATTTTACAAATGCAAAACAAAAAATTCAAAAATGGTGGTCATTTTGTTCCCTCACTTCAATTTTATGGTGGAAATCGAGAAATACAACTTGAAACGTTAATTTGAGCCTGTTCCCCACTTCTTCTCCTAAATCTGATATTTTTTTCGAAAAATTCCGAAATGTAATTACAATTTTCATTCATTACATAGTTATTTTTACTGACGAAACGTACTTCCTTATTCGTTATTAACATCATAATATGCAAAGACCGTGAGAAATCAATTTTCGAAAGATTCATTTTTTGTTTTTCATCTCTCTTTTGGCTCTGCGGCATATGAGCGCACATTTTTCAACGATCGGAAATTTTCTGAATTTTCCAAAAAAAGTATCAGATTTACGGAAAAAAGTGGGGAATAGGCTGAGATCAATGTTTGAAATTTTATCTATCGATTTTCACCATGAAGTTGAAGTTCTAGTCTTGAGAACGCTTAAAAATTCTCTCGGGACAAGAGAATCTCATCCTGTTCGAACACTTTTGTCTCTCAGTATGGGTTCTAAAGTCTAGAAAACCGAAAAAGTTTTCCGGTTTCTCAAAAAATTCTAGGAAAATGTCTGTTTTTTTATTCCAGAAAAATTTCTAAAATTATTTAATTTTCTAGAGAATTTTTGGATTTTCTGAATAATTCAAGAAAATTGTTCACTTTTCTAGAAAATTCATTCATAACACTTCTCTTATCTTTCAAAAATTACGGATTCTATTGCTCGGATCACTTTGAATAGTGAAAGGGAATTAATCAAAGATTCAAAATTATTCATTCCTTTTTCACTTATCACCCACCTTCATCGTCGATTGAGTGTTTTTCCTATGTGTCCTCTATTTTTATAATGCATTTATGAGTGTATCAAATTCCATACATTCGAAATTTGAATGAAGAAAAGGAAGCTTTCCACAAGTGAATGAACTACTAAATCGTCTAGTCTAGTACAGTAAAAAAGACTTGGACTGCATTTCGCTCCACGATTACTTGAATCGTTTGGTAAGTTTCCCCACCTTTATCTCCTCACAATATTTCGATTTATTCATTTTGCGCAAAATAAATAAATTCCCGCTACCGAATCGATAAGAAAACAATTCCCCCTGAAACCCCTCATTACCGATACAATTCCACATTCTCAAAAACGTGAAAAACTATTCACGTTTTGTACCACTACCATTTCACCACTGAAGAATTATGCAACACCGCAGACCCTTGTCTCGTTTCTCCTCTTGAATTCCTGGAACATTCGTGATCCCTGATTTTTTTTTCGTCTCCCCACAAACCTCTGCAATCCCCTGATTTTCAAAAGATAAAGCCCAAAAACCGTGGAACATTCCTCTCGTTCCTCTTTCCCCAAGATACTTATACGGGGAAAAAAAACCTCTCGAGAGGTAATACTTATTTTTATTGTTCCAGTGGCTCTTTGAATCACAGCATAAGCGTATACAACACAACAGCGGGCCAACACTTGAATACGATTAAATTTCACGAGGGCTTCATGGGCACGCGAATACCGCCGGTTGGATGCCTGAATTTTCATCCACACCGTGTTATCCTCGCTGCTGGATGCATCGATAATTCCATCACGGCTTACGCCTCCGAGCCACGCAGATGACTGTCGGAGATGGAGTTTGTTTATGGGGCATACGTTCTTTAACGAAAACTCTTTGAAAGACCATATTTCTTCTTGTGATGCTTTATATTTTCTTATTTCTCCTCTTAAATTTATGAAAGAAAACGTTAATGCTGCTTGGGAGGAGTAGTATGACTCAACGCGAGTGGGAGATCATTCGAATGGAACGTCTTTTTTTTCGAATTCGTAGACAATGAGTGTACATAATTAATTAGACTAGTTGTGACGCGCCTAGACATGCCGTATCAATCGCAATCTAATGGGTATGTAAGTGTACATAGAACGCATTATTTTAATTACGTTAATGTTGGTCCGACGAATAAGCGCATTGAGTGATGTATGCTTTTAATGCATTAGTGGCCGCAGGTGCGCAGACAAAAATTATGGGAATTCTTGGCGCATTCGATGGGAAATTCTGTTGGATTTCTATTTTAAGGGGAGACTTTTCATACGTTGAAGATCGATTATAGAGATCTGAAAACGAATAATTAGTGTAAAAAAATTTTTTTTATTGTTCGTTTGCCCGAAAACGTTTAAAATGCCACAAACAGTCCAGGGCCCTGAAATTTTTGGGCTACGAATGATTTTTTTTTTCAAAATTTTCGGAAAAAATATGTGGAATAACAATTACGAGCTAGTTTTTTTTTTTAATTCACCTCTTACATGGCTAAATTTGCTTTTTCGTATTTTTTTACACAAATAATGATTTTTTTTATATGAAAAAAAAAACGAAATCAGCTGTGTAGGAGTCGAATTCCAAAAAACTGGCTCGTAATTGTTGTTCCACACATTTTTCCGAAAATTTTGAAAAAAAAAAAATCTTTTGTAGCTCCAAAATTGGAGGCCCTGGACTGTTTTAGCATTTTAAGCGTTTTCGGGCAAACGAACAATGAAAGAAATTTTATTTGCACTAATTACTCGTTTTCAGATCTATATAATCGATCTTCAACGTATGAAAAATCTCACTCCAATAACGCACGACTTTTAAAACTCACTGTAGTCTCCCATTAAGGTGGTTCGTGCGAAAAAGGTAAGTCATGACATTCATCTGGAATTCATATAGAATGTTTATAATCACAATTGAGTTATCTATGAATTTTTCGTAGAATTTTTTCAGATTTCCTTTTCGAATTATTAACGATTGAAGTCGCTTCTTATACATGGCCTCTTATGGAGATTTTTCTGCTTAGCATGAAACTATATTATCAGTTCAGAGGGTAACGCAGCTCTATGAAAATTCATAGACAATCAATTGTGATTATAAACATTCTGTGTGAATTCCAGATGAATGTCTTTATTTACCTTTTTCACACGAAACACCTTAAATTCTATTTCAGTAGCGAAGTGGTAAAACGGTTTAAGTCGACTTATCTCCCAGATTAATTTTTGAGGAATATTTCTGAATCTAAGGGAGATAGTGAAATTTTCGTAATTACATTTGTTGTAACTCTCAATCAGCTCTACAAGAAAGTTATAACAAAAATTTTTCCATCTCCTTTAGATTCTGCGATATTTATTGAAAACTGGTCAATAGCCAAAATTGACTTGTACCGTTTTACCCCTTCGGTACTGATTTGTTTTTCGGCGATTCTATTGAAGAATTCGGCAGCCCTTTTGCGCTTTTTTGCAACAGAAAAAATTGATAACAAAATGGTTATTAGATGAATGTTGTTTTCATTTTCTTCAATATATATTTGACATCGATGGGGATGAACGAGAACATGAAATCAATAGAATTCGATCTTTCTAAGGGACTTATTCCATCGAGATATTTTCTGTAGGAATTCCACGACATTAATGTCCGAGCCAAACGAAAAAAGTGGAAAAAATTAGGGCGAGAAATTTTCTGTGGAAAATATGCCAATGGAATAAGTTGTACGAAGAATACAATTCAGTTGATATTTTCTAGAAAATATTCTTTATTGAACATTTTCATTTGAGGGGAGACTACTATGAGTTTTTAAAGTCTATTGGAGTCAGATGCTATTGGAGTCAGATTTCTCATGCATTGAAGATCGATTATGTGTGTCTAAAAACGAATAATTAGTGCAAAAAATTAATTGTTTATTGTTCGTTTGCCGTACGTTGGAGCTACAGAGGTTTTTTTTTAAATTTTTGAAAAAATGTGTACAATCACAAGTACGAATTAGTTTTTTTTTTAATTCGACTCCTACAGAGCTAAATTCATTTTGTTTAATCTAAAAAATTGCATCATTCATGTAAAATAGGCAGAGAAATTCTCCTTAACATATTTAAAATAAATTCTTGATTCGATTTTGCATAAACTGTGCAACTTTTTATTTGAAAAAAAAACGAAATTAGCTGTCCAGGAGTTGGATTTTAAAAAAATAATTCGTAATGGTCATTGCACACATTTTTTCAAAAATTAAAAAAAACCTCTAGCTCGAAAATTGGAGACTCTGGACTATTTTTAGCATTTTAAGCGTCTGCGGGGCAAATGAACAATAAACAATCATTTTTCTTGCACTAATTATTCGTTTTTAGACATATATAATCGATCTCCAATGTACGAGAAATCTTATTCCCCTTAGACAAGGAGTAGAAAAGCTGTGAATTTTTTTACGAATCAGCGAAAAATTAGTAGAATTTTCTGTCGAATGCACTAGCCTTTTCTATGAAATTTTTTAGTGCATGGGACAATATAGTCAAAAAAATTCTGATAATTCTGTTCGATAGCTCGATGAACAATCTGAAGGAATCATGGTAAAAATCTTTGGGAAGAGTAATAATTCAAATGCGGGGCAAAAAAAGCTCCTCGGTGAGGGACTCCACTCGTCACTCTCACGAGAGGGCCTCGAAAACTGGCGCCGTCGCGGCTTTCTCCTGCGGTTGACAACCGCCCATCTTCCTTGGTAATTCGAAGGGCTGGACTCGTAAAAAAAATGAAATGGAACCAAAGGGGAAAATAAAATCATGGAAATAAGAGCAGTGAGAGAATCTAAACCACTCAACCTAAGATGGGCGCAAATGAAGGACACTGGGATGAGGATGATTCATTCTCATTCAAGTGGTTTAATGCCGCCTTTGTACATAGTTGTCCAATTATAATAAATAAAATTTATCATGCCGATGAAATCTCCAGTGTCTGCTTCATTTCCTGGATAACAAAATTTTAATTCAATTAAGGAGTTCTGAACCATTAGAATTCAAACTCGATTTTTTGTTGATTATAAGAAAAATATTTTATTATTTGGAAGACATTTTTCGTAGAGAATCGATTTCTCTACAGATCAAGACTCCATTTTCATGACTTCACTTAAATAATTAAGACATTGTTATTAATCTATCTAATTATTCTGCTGTTTCACCCATTCGATACTAAAACAAGTGGCACATTCTACAAGTCTACATCAAATATATTTTTTTTTTGCTAAAAATTAGAAAGTTGCTTCCGAATGGATTAATCGAATTAAAACAAAAAAGTGCATAGTCGGTTTTCTGTTATTAATTTCAAATTAGTAGGAATCCTTCCTGAAGCTTAACCTCAGGAAAATTCAGAAGTTTTTTTTTAAAGACAATTTAAGATAAAATTTTTCAGTGAACTGAATTTATTTTAAATTAGACAGATTGAGTGAAAACCAAATAAATGTAAAATTTGATATCGCAAGAGTTCATGCTCCTGATACATCAATGTTGATGTCTCCTCGGTCGTAAGTAAATTATTTAAATTATTTTTTCCTCTAAATAGTTTTCCTTAAACTGGACTTGAGACTAGTATAACTCTTTAGCTAATGAATTAGCAATTAGCAATTTTAAACTTCCACTGAACATTGATTAAATCTTGACGAAGCTTTTGTTAAACCCTGATTAACCTCCGACTAAATCCCGACTAAACTCCAAGTAAACCCTGACTAAATCCCGACTAAACCATGATTAAACCTCGATTAAACGCTTTTTAAGGCTGCAATTTCAAAGCAAATGATGATGTTATCTCGACCGAGATAACATCCAAACGAATATTTTAAGCCATAATTGAAAAGATTTCGACGATTATTTTTTGAATGATCGTCGAAAAAGGAAATTTCATATTTGACGAATACAATGTTTCCGTTCGACAGCAAAAAGTGGACGTTTTGTTAATTTGGGATTCACATGTCATTTTACTGGATATAAAAATTGAATGAACAATCCAAGCCGTTTTTTTAAATTTTGAAGAATAACAATAAATAAAGAAGTTATCGAGATTTCAAATTTCTGTAGATGTTTCTACTATTGCGTATAAATTCTTAATTTTTTAAAAATAAAAACATGTGTTCATCAATTTTTTGCGTCTCTAGATTAGAGTAAAATTTATGAAATTCAAAATTCATTTGTTCATGATTTATTGCGAATAATGTAAAACAGATACTGAACTCCGTTCTTTGGGGCATAACGAACATTTAAAAAAAAACCTAAAATCGTATGAAAACTACGGCGCAAGGAGCATTTTGGAGGTAAAAACAGGAAACAATGAAGTTTTTCGTGGCTACACGGGGCAAAATCGATCGGGTCTGCGATTTTCCCTAGTTATTCCCATATTCAGTCATAGATCACAAACTGTTCAATCGGTCCCAAGGCCAAATTGCAATGAATTTTCAGTAAAATCTAAAAGTTTATGATTTTTTTCCCTCTCAGTCGCATTCAGTGTCACTGTCCTGAAAATTCAAGAATGTATTTACCAGAATTTTCTGGTTTTCTATTCATTGTCACGGAAAAATGGAACGGAAATTTACAGTTCTGTTTGATTTTTCCACGAAATTCTCAATTTTCAATGACAAGATTTCCGGAAATTTCAGTAAAATTGGAATGCGATAAAAATTTCCGGAATTTGGCACGGAGAGAAGTGTTCAGTAAAAATTACGGAACTCACAATTCACTCACCGATTATGGAATCGACTCAGAAAATTTAAGTGACGGTATCGTAATTTTTCACAAGAGATTCAGATAAAAATTACGAAATGCTCTGGAAAAATTCTGTGACAATTTCGTAAAATTTCCTACAACCACATTTCGCTCCGGAATTACGGAAAAGATACGTAATTTTTATTGAATATTTCTCTCCGTGCAGACAAAATTTTTTAACGGTGGAGGGACAGGGACGAGCATAAATATATTTACCTTATAATTTTTTGGACACTCCTAAATACCTGACGAATCTAGGGTTGACTATCAAAAAAAATTTAGTACTCAACAAAACGTTGAAATCTGTCTGTTCAGTTCCATCTCACGATTCCCCTCCTGAATTCCTGCGTCTGAAACACCAAAAACCGCGAATCGATCGACGCCCCCAGCAATCCCAAACAACTAAAAACAAAGACCAGACTCGCGAATCATTGAGCCAATCACCCATAAAAAAAAAAATCCCTAACAAGATATCTCGACTCCTTGCAGACTCGCATCGCGTGCACCCAATGATTAGGATCACGGGGGTAGAGTTTGTGTTTCCTTCCTCCTCATATTCATCTCCTCCGGTTCATTGAATATTCACTCCGCCGAGCCTGCGAGTGAGATAATACCCACTCGCTTAAAAAAAAACACAACTGGAATGGTGCTTCGAAAAACATGATCTCTTTTGCTGGGTCCATGTATAAAACAACTGGCGTTAAAAAAAATTCTGTTTAAACGCTTGACGATGAAAAAAAATTTCACACTCGTGACAATTCCGTCTCACTCGTATCAAAATATACCATTTTGTCATAGCGGGATGACAAAAACGTCATTTTTGTGATAGGTGCCTCAAAAGTGCACTTTTCGAGCGTGCGTAAAGTGAATTTTCATGCCTACAGCTTGGCTTTACTCGAAATTTATTTTACGCACGCTCTTGAACTTTACATACTCGTGCAGAAAAACAACCGAATTGCCCCCACTACCATTCCGAACAGTGAACTCGGCAGGTACCGCAAAAAATAGGATGTGTGCGCACGTTACACGCGCGTGTGAAAAAGTGGAACTTTACGCACTAGTAACATTAAGTATTTCATCACTGTCCGTAAAACGACGTTTTATGCACATTATGAAGCAATAGCTATTTTCGTCACTAAACTCGCTAACCTCGCTTCGCTCGGTTAAATCGCGGTTTTCGGGCCGTATGACAAAAAATATTCTTCGATACCCGGCCGTAAAAAACTTTTCTACCTCACATGATTACAGAATTCACCGTCGGCTCCAGTCAGCTCGTCTTTATATTCCTAACCTTATATTCGCCAAAAAAGTTACTCGCGGCCTAGAGTCGAAATAGTATATTTCGTTACGAGTGCGGAAAAGTGTTTTTTGGCTCGTGGGAGGTTTACAGCACGAGCCGAAGGTGAGTGATATAATCCCACGAGGTGGTTAGGCGGCGTGCTGAGTTGAATTTGGAGTGAGAATTTCCGTGGTTCCCGGTAGCTTAGTCGGTAAGAGTGCCCGGCGCGTAACTGGGAGACCCGGGTTCGAATCCCGGCTGGGCGAATCGGAATTTTTTCTCTCTAATTTTAATTCTATTTGAATTTTTTTTTTTCACCTACGGCTCGGAGGCCAACGCCACACGAGTAAAAAACCCCATCGCAACAGGCCGGAAAAATACTATTTCGGCCTCGTCACGAAAATAGCCATTACCAACTCATAAAGTAAAATACCATTACCCACTCATAAGTAAAATACCATTACCAACTCGTTAAGTAAAATACTAAAATCCCACAAAATCTGTAAAGTACCAGTTTACAGGCTGACGTGCAACAAAAAAAAACTTGAAACAATGATTACAACCACGGGGGTAGAATTTGGATTTTCTCCCCTCCATCTCCGCTCGGTTGATTGAATATTCACTCTGCCAAGTCTGAGATAATACCCGGCTCGCGTTAAAAAACACACCAAGAATGCCCTGAAAAACATGATCTCTTTGGCTGCAGCTGTCTCGCGAGTGAGCCTATTGCAAGGTAGGTATCGAGGGGGTAAAATGTTCTCTTGTAAACGATGAGAGAGGAAAAACGGTCTAGTGGTGGGGGATAACTGACGATGGCCTCAACGCGCTCGACTCGGTGTTAGTTTCGTGCAGTCAGTCAGATTGCGGCGAATAGTCGCGCACTCGCGTTCGTTCAGTTGCTCCGCATTATCGTGAATGGAACGACTTTAGTTTTCAAATCCGCGCTCTTTTTTTCGAGGCCAAATAGTGGGTGGAAGTGGATCGATAGTTGTTACAGCCTGGTAAGCCACAGATCAGCAGCGAAATATAAACAGAAAAAAGAGGAGAACACACCTGGCAACTACACCTGACTCATTTCACCGATGTCTCACCCACATCGATTATTTCCGCATAGCAAAGCCCCACGTCATATCACTATCACTCACCCTTTTTCTCTTTCTCGTGAATAACACAGCGGGAAAAATTACATTTCCAATTATTTTCACCATCCTTATCTCATTCATTATGAATTATTTCTTGCTGCTATTACATTGACCCCATAAATTGTGCAGATCGAGTGCGGATTTTTAACATTAAATCAGTCATAACCAATTGGATACTATCATGGACAGAACATCGAGAATTCTACTCAGGAAGATTATAATCGACATCGTCTGCCTCTGCCTCGGTATGTTCACTTCGTTTTTTCATTCTCTTCATCTCTTCAACACTGTAATTTAGTAATTTGCATTGATATTCATTGAACTCGTTTGCTCGTGAAATTTATCTGTCGAGTGTTTACTTTGATATGTGGGAACAGGTTAGGTATGAATAGTAAACAGGTGTACTAACAAGATTTAAGTGAAGTGATGATAGATAAAATTCGGTGATGATTGGGGGATGGAAAAGCCGGAATGGGTGGAGGGGGAGATTCGTTTATTGGATAAATTGATTGAATACGAAAATTGGATGAAATAGACTGGATACTCAAATTTTTTTTTTAAATGATGGATGAATAAGAGATTGTAGCCAATTAAGAATGTTTGTCTATTTGTCGAAAATTGTTTCATGTTCGAGGAAAATTCTGCAGTTTCTCAACTGCTGGGGCAAATGAACACTTAAGAATTTTTTTTGTCTTGAAATGGGAGATTTTTTTCTTTGGAAAGAGGAACCTTTTCCCTTTGATGAGCCTAGACTGAACTCAATTGATCAATTTGTCTCTGAGTAATGAACATTGAAAGGAAAGAAATAGGTGCCCATTTTGCCATCTTCTGCTATACATAGGCGCTTGTGGGATTTATTTGTATGCAGGAAAAAATTCATAGAAAAAACTAGCGCTTCCCAAACATTTTTATTTAATTTCGATTGGAAGTCTAGAATAATTTTATTGGAGTTCTATTTCATTTCATTTTTATTTCATATAGACGAAAGAGCACGCGACCAATTACAGGATCAAGTTGAACAGGTCAAAATAGTACTCATGAGGGAAAGGATTATTTATATTGGTTATATTATAAAATTACCAGAATACCTAATGTATCGAAATGTCTTTTGTTTTTTAATATTTTATCTCGCTATATTATAAAAACCCAAATCGACTTCTGGCGATAAAAATTTAATTCTCGAAATTAAGGGTCATAAAGGTCAGATTAAGTGTCCAAATAAAGGTCGTGGGGTCAGAAATTAAGGGTCAAAATAAGGGTCTCAATATCTCTCTATATTGCAAAAATCCAAATCGACATTTGGTGATCGAAATTACGACTCCGAAATTAAGGGTCATAAGGGTCAGAATAAGGATTATAAGGGTCTAAATAAAAACCACACGGTTCAAATTATGTGGGTCAGATTAAGGGTCAGACACTAAGGGTCACCAGGGTCAACATAAGGTTCACAAGGGTTATAATGAGGGTCAGATTCAGGATCCAAATGAGGGTCGCAAGAGTCAGATTAAGGATCATAAAGGTCAGATTAAGTGTCCAAATAAAGGTCATGGGGTCAGAAATTAAGGGTCACAAGGGTCAAAATAAGGGTCTCAATATCTCTCTATATTGCAAAATTCCAAATCGACTTTTGGTGATCGAAATTACGACTCCGAAATTAAGGGTCATAAGGGTCAGAATAAGGATTATAAGGGTCTAAATAAAAACCACACGGTTCAAATTATGTGGGTCAGATTAAGGGTCACAAGGGTCAGACACTAAGGGTCACAAGGGTTATAATGAGGGTCAGATTTAAGATCCAAATGAGGGTCGCAAGAGTCAGATTAAGCATCATAAAGGTCAGATTAAGTGTCCAAATAAAGGTCGTGGGATCAGAAATTAAGGGTCACAAGGGTCAAAATAAGGGTCTTAATATCTCTTTATATTGCCATATTGGTATTTGGCCTCTTTATATTGATTTATCCAAATCGATTTTTGGTGATCGAAATTAAGACCCCAAAAGTAAGGGTCAGAAATGAAAGGTCAAAATAAGGATCACGATGGGTTTAATAAGGGTCAGAATGAGCGTCACGAGCGTCACATTAAGGGTCACAAGGGTCAGAATAAAGATCCCGGGGGTTGGCGAGCGGAGCGAGTAGGGAACGTAGCCCCCTTGTTTTTTGTATGTTTTTGCTTTCGTTTGTCTGTTTTTTTTCCATTAGAATTCTGTTGAAAATTCTATTTTTTTAATTTTTCAATTTTTTCGAGCGTTTGTTGAGTAACACCGATATCTTTTGATAGAAAAAAGTCTATAAATGTTGATTTTTCTGTGCAATTCATTCTTTTGCAATTTCTTCACAAAAGAAGAAATTAATTTTCAATTTCAAAAAGTTTTGAATATGAATTTTCCAAGTTTTTCTTGAATTTACTTATGAAAAACAAAAAAAAACACAGCGGAATAAACTGATATAATTTATGGCGAATAATTGCTACAGAGAGACCGAAATCTACTGACTTTTCTTTATTGAAAAAATGTCTCTTGAATAAATACACGATTGAATCATCTTGAAAGAATTGACGAAAAAAATTAATGACTAATATCGTTAATTCAATTTGAATATCCAGCAGAAAAAAAATTCATGAAAATTCATGAAATTGTTGCCAGTCGTTGAGATTGGGACTGAGGAGAGTTTTTAATGGATATTATCACGATGACAGTCTCTATTAATAGTGCAAAATAGGGGGGGAGATATTCTTCCGGGTACCGGTGGCACACGATCCACCGGTTAGACCCTCTTTTCCTTGTGCCTTCGTTACGGTCATTATTCGAGTTAATAAACCATGTATTTGGGGAAATAATGCGGGAGGAAATGGCGGGATGAACCGGCAAAAATGCATCGGTTATTTTTTTATGCTATCGTAACGTTTTGGTTCATCTTTTTCATTTGCACACTGAGAGAAAAATATAATTCTTCTGACTATATTCAATCACCATCGAATTATAGTCAAAAAGTCCTCAACAATTTTTTATGGGTTACGGTAACTATGGCCGGAGAAGTAATTACTACAATGGAATGTAGTCATTGCAACTATTTTATAGTTCTCCTCACGATAGATTTGGCGCGGTTACTTTTGAACTTTGGTTAGTTTAACTGCATTTTGATTTGCAAAAATTACGCTTGTAAAGTTACTATAATGTTATGTGCCGCACACAAAAAAAATCGTATCGTTCACCAAAATGCCTCAACTATTTTCTTATTGTAAATCGAACTTCAGATTTTTCTCTCAGTGCACGGAGCAAAAAGTTGGAGAAAAATGATCAAACAAGTCAAGTAATCGTGAAGCGGAATCCATTTCTAGGTTTTTTCCACTCTATATTGTGGCAAAAGTGCGAGACGAATAGTGAATTTTTCTCCACTGACTCGGGGAAATTTACTAAACGTGAAAGTCATTTGGGCTGAAATTGTAAAATTTACCATTTTTTCCATCGAGAATTCTTCCCATCCACATTTCAGCCAATAGAATTACACTATTCGGCTGTTATTTTATATAGTCAACACGGTATTCAACTGATAATTTTTGATAATTCAACTGCTAATTTTTTATGTTGATATATATATGAAAAACAAAAGATTTTCGGGTTGAGTGAATCCTCATTGGAATTGATAGATGGATTTAGTCTCATAGTGCAATTCTCTTCGCCGAAATTTGGATGGAGAAATTCTCTTGCGAATACCACTCGAGCTTCAAAATGAATCAGGTATTTTCCTCAAGGTTCCCTGCATACAAACGAACTCATCAAATTTTTCAGGAAAAATCCCTCGTGCTTCGCACTCGTGATTTTTTAACTTGAAAAACTTGACTCCTTCGTTTGTTTGCAACCAACCTATCGGGAAATCCCTGATAATTTTAAAGCTTTTGTGGTATTACATACGATTATTTCACATTTCAACTATAGTACTTGTGCATAATCATGTGATCAATTACTTTTTCTATTGATCGACATTGGATAAATAAAAAAAATACGGCCCAGTCGTCCGGAAATTAGGGGTTTCGGCTGCATTCAACTATTTTTTAATTAAATTATTCTTTGTTTGTTATTTTCACTTCAAATAATTTCTTTCTGCTAATTAAAACGTTCTAGTTGAAAATTGCCAAAAAAAGAATTTGTTCGGTTCGAATTTGAAAGTCTCAAACATGAATAATTGCTCTGCTTTCGACAGCAACGAAATATTTGGCTCAAGAGGCGGATAATTCACACCAGAGGGTGCCTTTTCAGGATGAAAATATCTCACTTAGAGGGAAATTTATCAACAAATATTTTATCCCTGAGTTACAAGATTGCTATCATATCATTACTATTGTTTCATTTAAGGGTTTATTTCTTGTCTGTGATTATTAGACAGCCGAAACGAAAAATTACTATCCCTTATTTCGCATAAAACAAAGATTTTTCAGGAGTAAAAATCGTATGGAAGTATCGAATAACGAAGGAGTAGTGCTAGAAATGACATTTCTTGCGTGTACAGAGAATGCAATTTTTTCTGAACTACTAAATCTATTTTTGCGACGAAAATTTTTCATTCCAGCGCACTCTCTGCATGTTTGGCACAAAAAAATCCTTTTTTGATAATTTTCAAAAAACTATTTTCTTGGCGCGAGCAAGACTTGTTTGAGAACTTTGTCGTTTTTCTCTCAGTGCAGTCATAATTCGCCACTATTTGACTAATAATTTTTATTCAATTTTTCTGCCCGTGTAAGTGCACGCCCCAGACATTTTTTCAATATTTTTTTTATTCTTCAACTTCAACTATCCAATTTCGCGTTTTTTCTCATATTATGTTTACTCTCCATAAATGAAACATAATTGAAAAACTTGTTTAAAAACCTGATGCGTAATGAAGGCTTCATGTTGTTGCAATACTCGATGCTTTAATTTGCGATTAAATCGATAACGGGCGATTTATCAGCTGAATAATGTACAGGTTGTACCATGTGATGTCGAATGGTGCAATTCTATTGGATGAAATGAAAATGGGGAAAAAAATCGGACAAGTTTTTTAAATTATTCAATTATCTTAGAAAATAGTGAATGGAGGGAAAATGTCGGAGAATAATTTTGTAGCCAAGGAAATTTGTAGCAGAATATGTCTCCTGCCCTTCTTCCTAACATTACTGATGAAGGAATCGATTGGGCCTTAAGCTATTCAAATTCGAATGGAAATTGAATAATTTAATTATTCACTTAAATTAATTAATTTAATCAATT